TAACCACCAAAACATGTTCCACCTACCCCGGAACATAAATGCACTACGGGGGTAAAGATTTTCGGTCTTGATTTTACCTAATTTTCAGTAATTTCAGTAATTTCAGTGATTTTAGTAATTTTGGGATGGGCGTGGCCCCCGGGAGTGGCCTGAGTGGGTTGGGAGGTCGAAACTCGGTTTTTGTGATGGTTTGGGAGAAGTACTAACTATTTAACCACCAAAACATGTTCCACCTACCCCGGAACATAAATGCACTACGGGGGTAAAGATTTTCGGTCTTGATTTTACCTGGATTTCAGTAATTTTGGGATGGGCGTGGCCCCTGGGAGTGGTCTGAGTGGGTTGGGAGGTCGAAACTCGGTTTTTCTGATGGTTTGGGAGAAGTACTAACTATTTTACCACCAAAACATGTTCCACCTACCCCGGAACATAAATGCACTACGGGGGTAAAGATTTTCGGTCTTGATTTTACCTAATTTTCAGTAATTTCAGTAATTTCAGTGATTTTAGTAATTTTGGGATGGGCGTGGCCCCTGGGAGTGGTCTGAGTGGGTTGGGAGGTCGAAACTCGGTTTTTCTGATGGTTTGGGACAAGTACTAACTATTTACCACCAAAACATGTTCCACCTACCCCGGAACATAAATGCACTACGGGGGTAAAGATTTTCGGTCTTGATTTTACCTAATTTTCAGTAATTTCAGTAATTTCAGTGATTTTAGTAATTTTGGGATGGGCGTGGCCCCTGGGAGTGGTCTGAGTGGGTTGGGAGGTCGAAACTCGGTTTTTCTGATGGTTTGGGAGAAGTACTAACTATCTAACCACCAAAACATAAATGCACTACGGGGGTAAAGATTTTCGGTCTTGATTTTACCTGGATTTCAGTAATTTTGGGATGGGCGTGGCCCCTGGGAGTGGCCTGAGTGGGTTGGGAGGTCGAAACTCGGTTTTTCTGATGGTTTGGGAGAAGTACTAACTATTTAAACACCAAAACATGTTCCACCTACCCTGGAACATAAATGCACTACGGGGGTAAAGATTTTCGGTCTTGATTTTACCTGGATTTCAGTAATTTTGGGATGGGCGTGGCCCCTGGGAGTGGCCTGAGTGGGTTGGGAGGTCGAAACTCGGTTTTTCTGATGGTTTGGGACAAGTTCTTACTATTTAACCACCAAAACATGTTCCACCTACCCCGGAACATAAATGCACTACGGGGGTAAAGATTTTCGGTCTTGATTTTACCTAATTTTCAGTAATTTCAGTAATTTCAGTGATTTTAGTAATTTTGGGATGGGCGTGGCCCCCGGGAGTGGCCTGAGTGGGTTGGGAGGTCGAAACTCAGTTTTTCTGATGGTTTGGGACAAGTACTAACTATTTAAACACCAAAACATGTTCCACCTACCCCGGAACATAAATGCACTACGGGGGTAAAGATTTTCGGTCTTGATTTTACCTGGATTTCAGTAATTTTGGGATGGGCGTGGCCCCTGGGAGTGGTCTGAGTGGGTTGGGAGGTCGAAACTCGGTTTTTCTGATGGTTTGGGACAAGTTCTTACTATTTAACCACCAAAACATGTTCCACCTACCCCGGAACATAAATGCACTACGGGGGTAAAGATTTTCGGTCTTGATTTTACCTAATTTTCAGTAATTTCAGTAATTTCAGTGATTTTAGTAATTTTGGGATGGGCGTGGCCCCCGGGAGTGGCCTGAGTGGGTTGGGAGGTCGAAACTCGGTTTTTCTGATGGTTTGGGACAAGTACTAACTATTTAAACACCAAAACATGTTCCACCTACCCCGGAACATAAATGCACTACGGGGGTAAAGATTTTCGGTCTTGATTTTACCTGGATTTCAGTAATTTTGGGATGGGCGTGGCCCCTGGGAGTGGTCTGAGTGGGTTGGGAGGTCGAAACTCGGTTTTTCTGATGGTTTGGGACAAGTACTAACTATTTAACCACCAAAACATGTTCCACCTACCCCGGAACATAAATGCACTACGGGGGTAAAGATTTTCGGTCTTGATTTTACCTAATTTTCAGTAATTTCAGTAATTTCAGTGATTTCAGTAATTTTGGGATGGGCGTGGCCCCTGGGAGTGGCCTGAGTGGGTTGGGAGGTCGAAACTCGGTTTTTCTGATGGTTTGGGAGAAGTACTAACTATTTAACCACCAAAACATGTTCCACCTACCCCCTAACATAAATGCACTACGGGGGTAAAGATTTTCGGTCTTGATTTTACCTGGATTTCAGTAATTTTGGGATGGGCGTGGCCCCTGGGAGTGGTCTGAGTGGGTTGGGAGGTCGAAACTCGGTTTTTCTGATGGTTTGGGACAAGTACTAACTATTTAACCACCAAAACATGTTCCACCTACCCCGGAACATAAATGCACTACGGGGGTAAAGATTTTCGGTCTTGATTTTACCTGGATTTCAGTAATTTTGGGATGGGCGTGGCCCCTGGGAGTGGCCTGAGTGGGTTGGGAGGTCGAAACTCGGTTTTTCTGATGGTTTGGGACAAGTACTAACTATTTAACCACCAAAACATGTTCCACCTACCCCGGAACATAAATGCACTACGGGGGTAAAGATTTTCGGTCTTGATTTTACCTAATTTTCAGTAATTTCAGTAATTTCAGTGATTTTAGTAATTTTGGGATGGGCGTGGCCCCGGGAGTGGCCTGAGTGGGTTGGGAGGTCGAAACTCGGTTTTTCTGATGGTTTGGGACAAGTACTAACTATTTAACCACCAAAACATGTTCCACCTACCCCGGAACATAAATGCACTACGGGGGTAAAGATTTTCGGTCTTGATTTTACCTGGATTTCAGTAATTTTGGGATGGGCGTGGCCCCTGGGAGTGGCCTGAGTGGGTTGGGAGGTCGAAACTCGGTTTTTCTGATGGTTTGGGACAAGTACTAACTATTTAACCACCAAAACATGTTCCACCTACCCCGGAACATAAATGCACTACGGGGGTAAAGATTTTCGGTCTTGATTTTACCTAATTTTCAGTAATTTCAGTAATTTCAGTAATTTCAGTGATTTTAGTAATTTTGGGATGGGTGTGGCCCCTGGGAGTGGCCTGAGTGGGTTGGGAGGTCGAAACTCGGTTTTTCTGATGGTTTGGGACAAGTACTAACTATTTAACCACCAAAACATGTTCCACCTACCCCGGAACATAAATGCACTACGGGGGTAAAGATTTTCGGTCTTGATTTTACCTGGATTTCAGTAATTTTGGGATGGGCGTGGCCCCTGGGAGTGGCCTGAGTGGGTTGGGAGGTCGAAACTCGGTTTTTCTGATGGTTTGGGAGAAGTACTAACTATTTAACCACCAAAACATGTTCCACCTACCCCGGAACATAAATGCACTACGGGGGTAAAGATTTTCGGTCTTGATTTTACCTGGATTTCAGTAATTTTGGGATGGGCGTGGCCCCTGGGAGTGGCCTGAGTGGGTTGGGAAGTCGAAACTCGGTTTTTCTGATGGGACAAGTACTAACTATTTAAACACCAAAACATGTTCCACCTACCCCGGAACATAAATGCACTACGGGGGTAAAGATTTTCGGTCTTGATTTTACCTGGATTTCAGTAATTTTGGGATGGGCGTGGCCCCTGGGAGTGGCCTGAGTGGGTTGGGAGGTCGAAACTCGGTTTTTCTGATGGTTTGGGACAAGTTATTACTATTTAACCACCAAAACATGTTCCACCTACCCCGGAACATAAATGCACTACGGGGGTAAAGATTTTCGGTCTTGATTTTACCTAATTTTCAGTAATTTCAGTAATTTCAGTGATTTTAGTAATTTTGGGATGGGCGTGGCCCCCGGAAGTGGCCTGAGTGGGTTGGGAGGTCGAAACTCGGTTTTTCTGATGGTTTGGGACATGTACTAACTATTTAAACACCAAAACATGTTCCACCTACCCCGGAACATAAATGCACTACGGGGGTAAAGATTTTCGGTCTTGATTTTACCTGGATTTCAGTAATTTTGGGATGGGCGTGGCCCCTGGGAGTGGTCTGAGTGGGTTGGGAGGTCGAAACTCGGTTTTTCTGATGGTTTGGGACAAGTACTAACTATTTAACCACCAAAACATGTTCCACCTACCCCGGAACATAAATGCACTACGGGGGTAAAGATTTTCGGTCTTGATTTTACCTGGATTTCAGTAATTTTGGGATGGGCGTGGCCCCTGGGAGTGGCCTGAGTGGGTTGGGAGGTCGAAACTCGGTTTTTCTGATGGTTTGGGACAAGTACTAACTATTTAACCACCAAAACATGTTCCACCTACCCCGGAACATAAATGCACTACGGGGGTAAAGATTTTCGGTCTTGATTTTACCTAATTTTCAGTAATTTTGGGATGGGCGTGGCCCCTGGGAGTGGCCTGAGTGGGTTGGGAGGTCGAAACTCGGTTTTTCTGATGGTTTGGGACAAGTACTAACTATTTAACCACCAAAACATGTTCCACCTACCCCGGAACATAAATGCACTACGGGGGTAAAGATTTTCGGTCTTGATTTTACCTAATTTTCAGTAATTTTGGGATGGGTGTACCCCTGGGAGTGGCCTGAGTGGGTCAAGAGGTCGAAACTTGGTTTTTATGATGACTTGGGACAGGTACTTCCTATTTAACCACCGAAAATGTTCCATAAACCCAGAAACACAAATCCCCTACAGGAGTCAAGATTCTTAGTCTGTATTTTAGGGGACTTCAGCTATTTTGGGATTGACGGCCTGATCCATTCAGCTGAATGGGGTTGGATGTGTTATTACGTGATTCATATCTTATTGTCTAAAAATACGAGCAGTTTATTGAGAACTCTGACGGCTACCGTCGTAGATTCTACAATAATAAATATTGTAACGTACGTGCGGCGCGCAAAATCCACTACAAAATCCACTACAGTTTTCAGGGAAACGTCTTCTGGGATATGTCGTCATGGAGTTGATGAATTTGATCCAGGTTGCAAAATGCAACCAAAATTTTAACTAGGAATTAACATATTTCTTCAGTACTGTTGCATTAATCATATATTGTTTAACACTTGCAGAACAGTTTCCTTTAGAAACTTGCGTACCAGTACTTCAACTTAGTGGATTCAAATAATTTCGTTGTGCTTGAACAAAATTAGTTGTTTGTAACGTTTAACTGCCTACCAGAAACATGTCATTCATGACTAGACTGACACGGGATATTGTTGAGAGGGCGGAGGCCAATCAACCCCTATCGACTACAATGTAAGTAAATAAAGCTTGACATAAACTCTTGGTTGAAATATTCTCAAAACAGTAAATTTGTCAGTTAATTGTTACATCATAAGTGAATTATATTTATCCCTCCAGACCGTCGAAAAGGAAAACATTAACAACTGTTATACCTCCGCCCAAGGAGGAATTTGCAGAATATATTCGGAGGTAAGATTATGGCGGATGTAAATTGAAGATTTTGTAAAAGTTGCCGAAAAATATTTGAACAAGTTACAAGTGTTACCATTCCTATTTTAGTAAACAAATTTCTATCATCGCCAGCAGATTGGAGGAAACCCCCGGCCGAGAGTGTGAGACTCCAGGAGTGACTCCGTCCGCTAGAGCATGGGAGGCGACACCTAACTACGCTACAGCCATGACACCAGGACATGCTACTCCGGGCGCTATGACGCCAGTGTCCACTGCTAGGAGACACAGGTTATTGTTTAAAACCGCATTTTTTAAACATTTGATTTACCGGTTTGTTAATCCGTCAAGAATCTCCACCGGTAACACTTCTTCATAATACATATTTCTCATTATATTGTATGTAGGTTGACATACATATTATTCCAAAATCAGAATGGACACAGACATGGCATCCACATCCCACCGGTCCACCCAACCATCGACCCCACCCCACCCCACCTTATCGACGCCAACTTGCACCTCGACGCCGATAATCAGCGTCGAAGTGCCGATACATCCCCACAGAGTGGAATTTTCTAGTTTTTTTTGTGGCGTAAGGAACACGTACCAAACAAATTCGGAGGGAAAGTAAACATTTAAGGGGGTGAAGGCCAACCTTCTCAAGGTCTCCTATTCGGAGAAACTAATATGGAGGTAAGTATCGTTGGTTCTATGTTAATAGAAAGTAAGACAATACTCTATAAATTGAAAAACCTATCAGATGAATGTAAATGTTAAAGGGTTGACTGGAATATTTCTCAGCGATATGACCAACGCTCTGGCGACTGTTGGATCAAAGAACAGTGCCGTTTTCAACGATGTAATTAGGAAATACATTACTGGTAAGATATTAAAAGTAAGCCTCATTTTTTTAAAAAGCTTCCTCTGACCCCCCTGCCCCCCCCCCCCCCCCCCCCCCCCCCCCCCCCCCCCCCCCTTATTGATAGCTGAATATTCATCTACTCACAGACAAGTCAGGGAGCTCCTTGACCCGGCTGCACATAGATGAGGTGGTTAGGAGAACCGCAGCCAAGGAGAGCGGCCGGAGGCAGAACCTGAAGAGGTTGGCTAAGAGAAAGCTCACAAGAATGACCAGTGCAGCGAAGTCTCTTGAAGAGCAGAGAGACAGCCTCAACGAACGTCTACGGACGTTGTAGTAAGTAATATGTAGAATCGGGGCATCATTGTCAGTATTCAACACAATGTTTAAAATTCTCATTGTCATAATTTCTAGCAATTTACTATTTTTCAGTGACGAGGAGGAAGCTGAGTTGAGCATGGCTCTTGAAAAGTTTAATAGGCTAAAAACTATGAGATGTATGATATAAACAATGTGTTTTAAATTTTGTAAATATTCAGTTTTTTAAATGTATATACTTATAACATATTTCGTAAATTTTGTAAATATTCAGTTTTTCAAATGTATATACTTATAACATCTTTCGTAAATTTTGTAAATATTCAGTTTTTAAATGTTTATACTTATTGCATATTTTGAAAATTTTGTGAATATTCAGTTTTTAAATGTATATACTTATTACATATTTTGCACTTGTATAAGTTTAATGTGAGGAATTTCAAATCACCTGTTTCTCAAGAATCCTATTATGCTTTTTTGGAAGTTAAATAAAAAAAGAATATCGAAGATACTTCAAGACAGTTCCACCTAAGGTGCACATTCTTGAAGACCACGTGATTCCCCAATTACGAAAGTTGGGTTGGTCGATGGGAGTTGGATCAGAGCAAGGTGGCGAGGCCTCACACAAACTGGTAAAAGCAGTGAGGCAGCGATTTTTCAATAAGTCCTCAGATAAAGACAGTATTTTAAGAGCTGTGACCAAGGTCACATCCGATAGCATCATAAGACTGAGGCCAAGTGCAAAAGCAAAAAAAGTTAAAAAAACCACCACCAGTACTAACCCAAGCTCAAGTAAAGTTTAGTTATAAGCTATCGGACAGCTGTGTGGATTATACAACTGACAAGTACGCTGTGTGGTTCGTACAACTGACAAGTACGCTGAGTGGTTCGTACATCTAACAAGTTCGTACATCTAACAAGTACGCTGAGTGGTTCGTACAACTGACAAGTACGCTGTGTGATTCGTACAACTGACAACTTACTTATTTTTGATTCATTTTAATTTAATGCAATAATAAATACTGAATTTTAAACTTTACATAACTTTATAATTTTATTCACATTATATCCCAGGTTAAACAAACACCCAACGTCCCAAGTGTTGGGCCATTTGTTAGATTTTGTAATTACTCCTTTAACAAACATGAAAAATATACTTTTTATCCACCACAATTAATTTTTCCTAAAACATTATCTAACAAATGGAACGGTGAGGGACCTGGCATGATTAAATAACCAATCGCTGATAACTTTTATTGCAGAATTGTCGGTTGCACAATTAGATACTGGTATAGTGAATACTAGAAAACCTTTGCAGTGCCCCCCTCCCCTCCTCTCTCTATAAGCTCTGGGAACACTGCAGTATAATCCTTATTTCGGACGAAGTCCCACTCTTAGTCTTAATCTTCTAAAGGTAGTAATTTCAGTTATTGAATACTTACTACACCCTTTTTATTTTCTTATAGTGATATCTTCATCTCTTTTAAATTTATTTCTCTCACTAGCTCCTACAAGTTTAAAACATATTGTTGGGTTTAATTTGCAGTGTATCACTCACCATACATCTTCCAGGACCTTGAAGACCACTGACGCAGATAGGCAAAGAATTGAAAACTTCACTCATTGAATAGTTGTCTGCCGCGATAAACCTACAATATCACAAAAAAATAAAGTTCAGTTTGCAGTATAACAGAGACGCGCACGTACGCACATATCATATATCAGTTAAGCTGTAATAATAATACAATTGATGACGTACCAATACGCTACATTATAATACCATATATTAATATACAACATCATGGAATTATAACATGCATTGAGGTCGTTTCGTAACCTGTACAATACTGCAAAACTGGCGGTGACAAACCAGTCTAGTTCAGCTTCTCCGCATGACACGGTTTATGTGATAACTTGATTAATCGACATAACAACATTATGCAACATATTTTTGTATAAATGTACATCATGTACGGCTTAATCATTCTATGCATAAAATGAATAAATTTGAGGTCTAATGATTGCAGCTGAGCTAAATGGATTGCAGACCGATTATTAACTAAAATGATACACCGCTAGATCCCGCTAAATCCCGCTAGCTATCCGCTCTCTTCCGCTAGGTAATAATGCTGCGCGGCAAAATTGCGCGCGTTAGATGTCCGCTAGGCATCCGCTAGGCATCCCCTAGCTCCCGTAAGACATCCGTTAGTTTCCACTAACCATCCGATATTGCCGCTAGGTCCGCTGATTTTTGCATAACTTAAATCTGCAAAATCGGCTATATACGGACCTGTGGTACGTGCGTCTTGTGAATATAATTATGAATGGCATTGGCACTCATCATACTGCGTGTGACCGCGCGTTACAAAAACGATATAATTGCATCAGCTCTCTCGATTTAATTAAGACATGGCCCCAGTGTACAAAGAAAACTGCGGGAATTTTGTCAATAGTGCCTTCTCCTTACAATGAAGCGGGATCAACCCGTGATATACAAAATTTTAACAACTATTAAGCATAGTAATATATATAGTATTGGTATACAAATAATGTCTGTCCGATTTAAGTCTGACGAGCTGGGTGAGATCTTCAGATTGCGGCCCGATTTGGAAGATTCAAAGCTGCCAAACCGAGCCGCTAGACATTTTGAATAGGCAGGGTCGATAGAGGAACAACGGGGGCTCGAGCGATGGGAATAAGAAAGTTCTTATTCCTCCATATCTTCGTTCTTCCTCAGGATAACAAAACCCTCCATGACAGGTGTCAGGGGCGTGTACTCGTTAGTACCCAGCTCGGCCCTCTCTCCATGAGCGAGCAGGACTGGGGTAGTGTGAGTTTGGAATCCAGTGATAGTCTTGGGTTTACCAGCTTGTCCCACCACATCAACAGCTTGTCCGACACGAACAGGGACTGGTAGCGGCTTGAGGTCCTCGTTGAAAGTAACCAACATGCGGGGCTGGATTGCCGAGACCAAGTGGTAAAGGAGATAGTGTGATTTGCCTGAAATGAGAGGCCGTGACTGGAGCGCGATAGAAACACTTATAGTTGATTAATTAGTGAATAACACAGGTTTTACCCAATAGGCGGTCAAATATAGGCTATGTCCTATTTTGGTAATTTTATACCGTAAAATGACGGTGCATTTTTGGCTATATTTCAATTAAGTTTTAAGTCTTGACTTGACGTACCAATGATGAGATTGTTAACGTCCATGAAAGCAACAATAATGCCCAGCAGGCCACCAACAGCTACACGTGACATAAGCATGCGGTCCGAGTGATACGGACTCAACGTCAGAGTTCCCTTTCCCAAGTGCACCAGCCCTTGTGCCAAGCGTACCATGAAAAGGTTATTCGCGTCCTTATGATAGTACTGCGCGAGCTGGCGCAGCATGTTGGCCAGGCGCGCATTGTTCGTTCCTGAGCCTACTATACCCATAGCGAATATTGCGTTGTGTGCGACCTGAAGGAGGATTCGTAACAATCGTTATGTTCTTTATTACGAGCATGTTTCAATAAGACATAACATCAGTAAACGATACGGCTAATAACTTGCCTTACCAACTACACAGTCTATTTTCACCGATGACTTAACTATATAATGGCACACTGTCTCCACAACCTAAAATATGACAGTCATTAACCTCATTAAGCCTCTTCAACTACCCAATTAACAAAATAACCTCAGAGTCAGAGTCGTGTGACAGCTTGCTCAGAGTATCAATTATCTCCAACTTGGGATTGCTGGCAGACAGCATCGCTAGCGCCAGGGGCACCACACGTCGAATACAAGGCTCTCCATAACTGAAAAAAAAATGAGAGTGTAAACACATTACATGTATATCTATCAACACTATTGAAGACTGGATGGTACAAATTATAGTAGATTTTGTGTGTGGGTGTTCGCGGTTTCTGGTGTAAAAGTCGTGAACGTTTTATACAGTAGTAGGGGTTCGGTGAGAGGGAGGGAGAGCGAAAGGGAGGGAATGGCTGGGAGGGAGGGAGAGAGGGAGGGAGGGAGAGAGGGAGGGAGGGAGAGAGAGGGAGGTAGAGAGGGAGGTAGAGAGGGAGAGGGAAAGGGAAAAGTGAGAGGGAGAGGGATAGGGAGAGGGGGAAAAGTGAGAGGGACAGGGAGAGGGACAGGGAAAGGGAGAGGGAGAGGGAGAGGGAGACGGAGAGGGAGAGGGAGAGGGAGAGGGAGAGGGAGAGGGAGAGGGAGAGGGAAAAGTGAGAGGGAGAGGGAAAAGTGAGACGGAGAGGGAGAGTTAATGGCTGGGAGGGAGGGAGAGAGGGAGGTAGAGAGGGAGAGAGGGAGGGAAAAGTGAGAGGGACAGGGACAGGGACAGGGACAGGGACAAGGACAGGGACAGGGACAGGGACAGGGACAGGGACAGGGACAGGGACAGGGACAGGGACAGGGACAGGGACAGGGACAGGAAATAGTGAGAGGGACAGGGACAGGGACAGGGACAGGGACAGGGACAGTGACAAGGACAGGGACAGGGACAGGGACAGGGACAGGGACAGGGAATGGCTGGGAGGGTGGGAGAGAGGGAGGTATAGTAGGGAGGGAAAGAGGGAGGGAGGGAGAGAGGGAGGTAGAGAGGGAGGTCGAGAGTGAGAGGGAAACGGAAAAGGGACAGGGACAGGGAGACGGAGAGGGAATGGCTGGGAGGGAGGGAGAGAGGGAGGTAGGGAGGGAGAGAGGGAGGTAGGGAGGGAGAGAGGGAGGTAGAGAGGGAGGGAGGGAGGTAGGGAGGTAGGGAGGTAGGGAGAGAGAATGGCTGGGATGAAGGGAGAGAGGGAGGTAGAGAGGGAGGTAGAGAGGGACAGGGAAAGGGAAAAGTGAGAGGGACAGGGAGAGGGAGACGGAGAAAGAGAGGGAATGGCTGGGAGGGAGGGAGAGGGAGAGACAGGTAGAGAGGGAGAGGGAGAGGGAAAAGTGAGAGGGAGAGGGAGACGGAGATATTACCGGAGGAGATTAGCGTAGGATCGGAGTGCCATTTCGGCGCCGAGCTCCTCTGCCATAGCGATTAGGGCAATACCGATCACTGCCACCATCTGTTGAGCGATACCTGCCGGATAAGATGCTGATAGGTAAGTTATTGATTATTGAAACATGATTGAAATTTGAGGTGATGGAAAATTCGTCAAGATAAATTAGATGGCATTTCCCGTATTAATGGAAGGTATTAGAACAGTATGTGTCGATGTAAAAGATTAAGACCTGAAAATTAATCGAAACAACGATTTAAAATTTAACTCGAACCAAATTCCGGACCGTATCCATTTAGGCACGCGATGGGAACGTCATGGGCTTTTTAGCTCACATTCCTTGAAGTACACCCCAGCTAATATACCTTACCCACTACCCATCAGCATACCTGAAAATCAGTATTGGGCTGGAGGAATAACCAGTATCTTTTAGTACCTGGGTGCCAATAAAAGTGGAGATGGTACCATCGATTGAGAACTGGATATCAGAATGTGCCAATGGTGCGTTTTAACCAGCTCTAAAATATATGAAACAGCAGAACTATAAACCTCCCACAAAGATCCGCATCTACAAAGCTGCTGTTTCCACCGTCTTGTTAAACGGTTTCCAACTGACCTCCCCGAGAAATTTTGAAGAAAAAGTAGTTCTAATATGTCTCCAATGTAAATGAAATCAAAGACCTTATTATCTACACTTTGTTTCTGATAAAAAATTTCGTATATGCTACCAAGAGAAAACTGTCCAACGATTCACCGTAACTACATAGTACATAACATTCATATTCTCGAATTATTTGTTATATATAGTGTTGAAAGTATTTTAATACTTTCAAATACTTTTAAGAATACGACTCATAAATAATGACTATGTTCCTATCCAGATATTACATAATATCTTTACTTTATTTTTGTTGTATTTATAATCTATTTTGGGTTGTCAAATAAAAAATTAGTCATAAGTTTTCCGTTTTGATCTATTATAATATAGGAATAGAATCATATATCGGTTATATAGGAATCAGCAATAGCCGAAAAAACAAAGAACTTTGGGCCGAAGAACCTTTATTCACTACATTTTAGTTGGAACTTAAACTTACTTGAGGATGCTACACAGTGGGGTAACGTTGCCTGTTGGCGCCCCCGCCGAAAATGCACCCCCCTGTTGGCGCCCCCTCCCCCAGAATCCGCATCTATATCTAGATCACCACTATTAATTGATATAAAACTTATACTCAGCAATGATCCCAGAATTGTACTTGAATAATTGTAAATATTGGAAACTTATGCTTGGAAACTGGAAATATCAGTTATACTAATGCAAGAATATCATAACAGTAGATGACATTGCTCTGATAGCAGATACTGTAAAGGAGGCAGAGACGCTGATGCTAGAGGTAGAAAGGGTTGCTGCTACAGTTGGACTTAGAATGAATGAAGGGAAAACCAAATTCATTACTCAGAACATCGAGAACCCTGATACCATCAAGTCCCTGGGTAACAGTACAATAGAGCATGTGGAAGACTTCGCCTATCTGGGCTCTAGAATCAGAGACAGTGAGAGTGATATCAGGGTTAGGAAAGGAAGAGCATGGGGAGCATGCCACACACTCAAAAAACTTTGGAATTCTAAGCTTAGAAAGTCTATCAAGATCAAAGTGTTAACAGCACTAGTGGAGTCGGTGCTACCGTACGGTTCCGAGAATTGGACTATGACGAAAAGGCTAGAGAAGATGGTTGATGGTTGCTATACGCGAATGTTAAGAATGGCCCTTAACATCAATCAATATCGAGACCATGTCAGCAACCACAGCCTGTACGGTGATCTTCCCAAAGTCAGCTCCAAGATAACCCAACGAAGGCTCAGACTTGCAGGTCATGCTCACCGACATCCGGAGCTGACACTGAACAAACTGATCCTCTGGAAGCCGAGTCATGGGCATACTGACAGGGGGCGACCTCACTTAACACTACTAGATAACCTAAAAGCAGATACTGGGCTGAAGTCAGTAGATGAGATAGCTAGACTGATGGAGGACAGAAAGCTGTGGAGAACTGTTGTCAATGGATCTCGGGAATACTACCCGCCTTAAGTCAGTAGATTCAACACGTGGAGCACCAACAACTTTTGTTTTGAGCATGTTTTAAAAGCATATCCAGCAGAGCCGCCTCCCACCCGCTAGTCCTACTTCCCTTGAAAACCCGAGTCTACCTACTCCCTATATCAATTCGTCCCTGGACTCCAGCTACTCAACATGCCTTGAGAAAAGTTTAGTGTGCAGATAGGATTCATATCAGTATGTTCACAAAAATGTGGATGAGCAGTTACACTTGCTCTTGTGCAAACAGCGAAGTTAAGGTAACTCAACTCAAAACACTACTAGTACAGCAGTATATTATTATAGCAGTTCCTTTGAATACCACGTCATAATAGACAGTGTTTTCAAGACGATTCCTCAACTAGTAGTGGTAGTGGTGTTCCTCAACTGATGACACAGAAGTTTTATTAAATTCATGAAATCTGCTCACATTGCAAAAGTTCATTCGCCAGATATGGATTTGCCACTTCGGAATTCAATGTGACGCACTATTTTTCCTAACTGGAGTCGAAATTGAGTACTGTCGGAATTATGGTTTGATTGGACTTCAATTTGATTGATCCAGAGTTGGAATTTTCACAGAACTGGCAACACTTTTAAATCAACTGACCAGTCTCCGCCTCAAGCTTTTTAGCGTCAGCCTCCTGTTTCTCCTTCTTATCTTTCTTGTTATCCTCACGTGATACCTCGTAATGCTCCGAACACAAGTGTAGCATCTTCTGTATCTTCAATACGTCACCAGTTCCAGCGTACGCAACCACCTGATTTTAAGGTTTAAAGTCAATAAGCTAGCGAGGTTACTGTTACTGTGGTTACTGTGGTTACTGTGGTTACTGTTACTGTGGGTCCTTACTTCAGTATTGATAAGCTAGCGAGCTTACTGTTATTGTGGTTACTGTGGTTACTGTGATTACTGTGGTTACTGTTACTGTGGGTCCTTACTTCAATATTGATAAGCTAGCGAGGTTACTGTTACTGTGGTTACTGTTACTGTGGTTACTGTTACTGTGGGTCCTTACTTCAATATTGATAAGCTAGCGAGCTTACTGTTACTGTGGTTACTGTTACTGTGGGTCCTTACTTCAATATTGATAAGCTAGCGAGGTTACTGTTACTGTGGTAACTGTGGTTACTGTTACTGTGGGTCCTTACTTCAATATTGATACGCTAGCGATTGGCCAGGGTTGTGATTTAAGGTTCTCTCTTTTTTTTAAGGTTTTAAGGTTTTATTTCGGTGTTTTTAAAGGTTTTTTTCAGTGTTTCCTGCGGTTTTAAAGGTTGTTTTTTCAAGTTTTCTTTCCGTATCGCAAAAAAAACAGTTATTTTTTCCAGTCCGAGGTACACCAAACTAGGTATAATTTGAGAAAATGACAATCGGAGATACACCTTGCTAGGTATAATTTGAGAAGATGCCAATTCCGGCTTTTTGAACGCTTTTTTAAGGTCGACAGAATCACGACAATATAATTTGGGTCCATTATGAAGTGAAAAAAATACTCGACTATTGAATGCCAAACAGTCTTCTTATTCGAGAAATTCCACCAATTCGTTCCCAAATTATCCTCAAATTTCAAATTACAATTCTATGCCAAGGTGTGAATATAAAAAGTTACAAAATCTCGTCCCAATCAAAAAATATGATGCCCTTAAGTTTAACAAAGTCATAATTTAATCAAGTCGTCCAATAAGCTACTAGAATTATTACAATGTGGGGCCTTTAAAACCTTACACCAAGGTTAGCATTGCAGGATGATCGTTCTGTCGCTATTCAGATCCGGCAAAATGGTAACGTTTCGATAAGTTGATAAAACCGGTCTTTGTGCCATTTCGAGATGCATCACACTATTTTAAAATCTGACTCACTAATACAAACAGACGGCAGTTATTTTTGTAAATATGTAGCTCGCCGAATATGCCGTGTGTGATTTACATTTTAAACTTTTTTAAATAGCTGGCCTGAAAAATAGCCTCATTGCTGTGTAATGTTTATATACTGTATACATTCATACGCAAATCATTAAATTTCTGCACCTCGAGGTGAGGTGTCACGTGACCATAGTGAAAAACAATTTGTAATATACGAGAAATAAAACTATATAAGAAGTGATAGTCGATAGATTACTGGGGACGAAATGAACGTCCACTCACTGCAGAACAAAATACATCATGTATTGTCAACGTTTCGGCTAGATGCTCTTGTCATAGACGAAACGTCGAGATTACTCTTTACATAGCTCAATAAATGTATTTAATTGTAGTTGTGAAAATAGTTTTAAACTATTAATCTATCATGATCGACCCACTCAAGAGAGCTAAAAACGAAACTTATTACTTTATTATAAAAGAGATGATACCGACCTCGACCAAAGTAGCTGCCATCTTTCCAAGCGGATCTCCGACAACCTTCAAGGCTTCAATAGCTGGCGACGCTTCTTCCTGGAATAATTGCAACATTTCTTTTTAAGGGATAAATATTTTCCGAAGCAGTATACCAACTCCAAGGTCACGAATTTATAGAATTTATTTAAGACAAGAAGCTAAAATTCTATCCTATTTCTATCAGGAGCTATTCATAATATATAATATACAGGGTGGGCCAAAAGTCAGTGTACATACGTACACGTTGGCCTTAATAGCTCAGTCACTGAGTGCCCAATTGAAATAATTCTTACTGGTATGACTTACTACCACCACTGGTTCGAGGAATTTGTCAAATCGAAAAATATTCGAGTTCATTTTTTTCAAATGAACGTATATTATATATATTATATAATATATATATAATGATGTTTCTTTTGGAGAAATCCAGTTTCAAGAGTGCTCTACCCGGGAGGGGAGCATTGTACAATGAAAACAACGATTCTACAAACTCAAAGTTTCATGCAAATGCAATCATCAGTGTCAGAATAACTTACTAAATTACTAAATCCATATTTTCCTTACAAGCTCCTTCATAAAATTAACTTAACTAAACTAAATCAAAAACAAAATCAAACGAAACGAAACGAAAATGAAATACAAGAAAAAAAAAAACTAAAATTAAAATAAAATATTCCTAAAAGCATTTCTTCAGCATAAACTTGTTGGTGTGCCTACATTTACTTATGAGTTCCCTCCTCCTATTTAATAGATTCCCTCCAATCTATTAAATAGGAGGAGGGAACTCATAAGGAAATGTAGGCACACCAACAAGTTTATGCTGAAGAAATGCTTTTAGGAATATTTTATTTTAATTTTAGTTTTTGTTCTTGTATTTCATTTTCGTTTCGTTTCGTTTGATTTTGTTTTTGATTTAGTTTAGTTAAGTTAATTTTATGAAGGAGCTTGTAAGGAAAATATGGATTTAGTAATTTAGTAAGTTATTCTGACACTGATGATTGCATTTGCATGAAACTTTGAGTTTGTAGAATCGTTGTTTTCATTGTAATATATATATATATATACAGGGTGAGTTGAAAATAGTGTGTGGAATGTAAAAATCGATAATTCTTTTTATGAAGGAGCAAATTTTGAAAGGTGAATTGCTATCAGTTCATAAACGTTACATATTTCATTCTTGCCTCTCATTTGATTCTATAGGGTACTGTATCAGGTCACAGGCACCACGCGTTCTGCCGATAATATTTGACACAAAATAACAGTACTAAGATGTGACAAGCGGAACCAAGTGTACCCCCACCCCACCTGTAGTGTACCCTAGTGTTGGTACACTACAAGTTGTGACACTATTTTCTGGAATTCTTCCAAACTTGTCCTATAGACACATTCCATCGTCAGATCTACTGATTTACAGTACAACACTCAGCTCCCTAGAGTTATTTGGTATATTATCAAGCCTCACCTTTGTTTTAGTTAATATGATATGATCAAACTGAAATTTTACGTTGTTTTACCTTTTTTAACAGGGCAATCAAGGAAAATTGGAAAGTAATCATCTGTTTAATTAATATAATGAAACAATTTCTTTATGCTAAAAACAAGTTATTTTAAGAGTTTAGCAGGGTGTTAGTGGTAATGAAAATGATAAACTAGTGAATATATAGATCGGCTTGTCTTTGGTCAGAAAAGCCTGCCAAATACTCACTAATACTAGTAAAGTAGTAACTAAGTTGCCATAGTTCAAGATGAACCTCCAAGTTAATGAACCCCAAGTTATGAAAATACCTGTTTGCCGAGGTAGGTGAGGGCCAGACCCAGTGCCAGGAAGCGACTGTGAGTGTCCTTTAGTTCCGTCTCTGACTTGTCCATCATTGTCTGGAGAATTGTGGAGGTTACCTCGCCATGACAACTAGATATCGCAACCATCCCTGAAATAACAGTGAAATTATACCCATTTTTAAAAAACCTCTCCATGTCCTATTTTAATTGAGCACATAAAAAACAATGTTAAAACAACATTAAACAGTGCTGATCATGAAGGGTTCCAAGACAACTATATAAAGTACTTTTCTACTCTTAGGGGATGTGTTGTGAATTGTAGCACACCATTACAGCAACAGTAACAGTAGCACACCATTACAGTAACAGTAACAATATCCAACATTACAGTAACAGTAGCACACCATTACAGTGACAGTAACAGTAGCACACCATTACAGCAACAGTATCACAACATTACAGTGACAGTAACAGTATTACAACATTAAAGTGACAGTAACAGTATCACAACATTACAGTGACAGTATCACAACATTACAGTGACAGTAACAGTATCACAACATTACAGTGACAGTAACAGTATCACACCATTACAGTGACAGTAACAGTATCACAACATTACTGTAACAATATCACACCATTACAGTGACAGTAACAGTATCACAACATTACTGTAACAATATCACACCATTACAGTGACAGTAACAGTATCACAACATTACTGTAACAATATCACACTGTTACAGTAACAGTAATGATATCACACCATTAATGTAACAATATCACACTGTTACAACAACAGTAATGGTATCACACCATTAATGTAACAATATCACACTGTTACAGCAACAGTAATGATATCACACCATTAATGTAACAATATCACACTGTTACAACAACAGTAACAATATCACACCATTACAGTAACAGTAATGGTATCACACCATTACAGTAACAATATCACACTGTTACAGTAACAGTAACAATATCACACCATTACTGTAACAGTAATGGTAACACACCATTGTAACAGTAACGTGACGGAACTAACCTAAAGCAAGGGCGGTCTGGCCGATGACTTCTAGTGTGCTGTTACTGTCTGCTAGGACCGGTAACAGAAGCTCGATAACATCTTCTCTGTTAGATCCTGAATAAATATAATTTAAGCATTTCACTGAAGCGAGCTTATATATAATTCTTATCTGGTATTAATAATAGTAATCAGGGTTCACTATGGATTTAAATGAGAAAGCTTACTATAGTTTAGTGTTGCTTTTTAAAGGCTATTCACCTATTTTTTAAATGTTGGCCCTATGTTAGGAAAGCTGTCTTAATTCTGAAGCTTTGTTTATGCATAAACATTATTTCAAAAGATCCCCCCACCAGTGTTACGGGTACGTGCCCCCTACCAGTGTTACGGGTACGTGCCCCCCCTACCAGTGTTACGGGTACGTGCCCCCCCTACCAGTATTACGGGTACGTGCCCCAGTGTTACGGGTATTTTTCTCCACGTTTTATGCCATCTGATCTCTTTTGGCGAAAAATATATTTCTCCGTGTTTCAAGCGATTCCGATCTTTTTGAGCCAATAAAAGATTTTTAAATTTTTGGTAATTAGCTAATTGGTAATTACCCAATTAACTGATTGTCTGACGTTAAAATTTGTAGGACAAAAGTTTTTCTCCTTGATAAAATAAACACCCTCGAATAATCCACGACCTTCTACGATGTTTACAACTAAGGATACTCGACAAAAGAGAAAGATGGCAAAAAGTGACAAAAGTGGCATTAAGGCGTGGAAAAGTTTGGAAAAGTTGGTCAGCTGTAAAGGGCATGTAATGGAACTCAAAAACGTCAAAAATCCTTAGGAAGCTTTTTGTTTCGGTAAATCGATTTTACAGACGGATATATATAATCTCGAAGTTTCGCAAACATTTACGATGCCGTACTTTAAAAAGCATACCGTACCGCGGACCGCCATACCGGGGGGGGGGGGGGGGGGGCATCCCCCCCTCTTCCCCGCCATACCATTCTGCTCTGGTGGTTTCAGCCGTATTCCACAACTAAAAATAAAATAAACGTTCCCCCCCCCCCCCCCCACTGCAACTGCCACCGCCAACCTTAATAAAATAAATGTTTTAAAACTTCAAACGTCCTTGTATGTTGTAAAATACCAATTAAAGTAAATTGGAGCATTATTATATGACAGCTCACCAGCGTAAGCAAGTCCGAGACCGACTATGCTGCCGATCCGCATGTTGTTTGACTGGTGTAAGACGTAGTCGGAGAGGAGAGCCAGCGCAGGGTCGCACTCATTTCGCACTCCGCTGTTCACGATACCACACGCCAGCAAGGCACCACACTTGATGTAGTCTTCTGATGAGTATAGGTACTGGACAGAAAAAGAGAATTTAAATAGTTACTATTTACCAGACTACTAGACTAGTTACTACACTTCTCACTAGTATTAGTTACTATTTACCAGACTACCACTAGTTACTACACTAGTAAGCTCATTGTTCAAACTTTCATCATACTATCATACATTGTTAAATTACCTTTAAGTAACCGATACACGGCTGGACCTGATTACGTAATGCTATTAATACATGTACAACTTGATGATATTCAGTACAGTGTACATGATAATGTTGTACGGTGTGATTAGTTACTAGTGTTAGTTACTAGTGTTGTAACTAACTAGCTCGGTGGTAAACTATACCTCAAAACATTACCAGAGATAAGTTTTAAGATTACTGTTTATTGACTAAACTTCGTACCTTGTCAATTTGGGTAAGACCCCCGTCCACGTCCCACAGAAGTATGAGGCCGAGTGATGCTGTAGCGGACATCATGCCGTGTTCCTTGTTCTTGTACAGCCATTTGTTTCCATTCTCCGCTAGCAACTTATCGTTACCGAATGCACAGTTCACAAATCTAAAAATTTTTGAGATTGTTTTTCTAATGTTTTGCTTATTTTTGTATAAGGCGTAATAAAGTTTTGACAACAAGGACCAAAGCTAGATTTCAACACCGTTTTGCGGACAAGCTATATATAATATACATGGGCGATTCCACGTTATGTAAATTTTGGGTTAAAAGGTCTATTGAATAAAATTAGGGCACAACAGGGAAACAAAAATTAAGACTCTATCTTTTTTAGTTTTTGAGTGAGACTGAGACTCGTTTCAAAATGTAGACATAAAATACAGGCATAAATCATAGCATATTCTTTACAGAACTTCTTCATCAAATTTGTATTTTCGACACTGGTTTACCTTTTCGTGGAATCGCGCATATATATAATATATGTATATAATATATACAATTGAAACAACGATTGTTATTATATATTAATGCAATCGTCAGTGTTCGTAAACCCAGACGATTGCATTAGTAATAATAGTAAGAAACTTTTAGTATGTTAACTCGTTGTTTCAATTGTATAAAGCTCCCTCCGGGTAGAGCACTCTTGCAACTGGAGAAATCCAAACAAAAACCATATTAATCAATCTCTATTATAATTCAAAGAATATATTTGTCTGCCTAGTGCCTACGTGCAAATTAGATGAGAAAAAGGAAGTTGCAAAGTAACTATGGTCACGGTGTTGAACGCGGACGTGCAAAGATTTGTGAGCGACATGACATTTTGATCGGTTTTGTGGTAATTACGTTGTGTTTAGTGCGAGCTACATTTTAATCGGTTGTGCATCTTCGGTTGTGACGGATATTTTCTGAGGCGATAACGGATAAACTGACTACCAGCCGGGGCCGGGGTACGAAGGACTGTAATTTATTGCCTCACAGAAAAACTTTTCATTATCTTAAATAAATGTATAATGAATCCACCCCCCCCCCCCCCTCCATCCTACACAAGAAATGCGGACGCATCTATTGTTATGATCTGGTATTCGGCGAATCATATTTTTCTACTAACCCATTGACGAAGGAAGCAGCCAGGTTTTGCCTCGCTGAGTCCACGTTCGTTGGCCCATATGGTCGGACATTCTCAAGATGGCTCTTGTAGATATCTTCCGGAACCTGAGAAGTTTAAAAATTGATAAATTACATTGATTAAAGCCCTCTCCTCAACCATCTTCTAGAAAATTAATTATAGGAAAAAATTTCGAAATTATCGAAATAGATTGACGACTTGATGTTAGCTCCTGAGTAGTGGACCGATAATGTTAGCGTCTCCTTTTCTACAAAAATAAATGAATTAGAACGTAAGTAACTGTTCCCAAAAACACAGAGAATAAATAAGGTGTCCAATTTTGGTTTTTTGTAAAAAATATTACAATCGTTATTAGTGTTAAGACTTTAATATTATCATTTAAAGGTCAGGTAGTTGAAACAAGAAGGAAGGGGCAGTACCTTGGGTTCCATGATGTCGAGCTCCCTAGCCAGACTCTGGAAGTTAGTATTGAGATGAACATTGCTCATTATCTCCATCAACTCCTCCGCGTCGGGGAACTGATCCTCATCCAGCTCAAGAAACAATTGCTGAAATTAGAACCAAGATAACAGCTAAATCTTGTATTAATTCAATTAGTTTTCAAATGGATTGATTGTTAATAGAAATCGCGTGTAAAATAAAAGGTGACTGGTGAGGTGTCTGCAAATGCGATGATTTAGAGTGATATGTCTGGTGTGTGAGATCCTTCCCCCTCCCCCTCCCCCTCCCCCTGTCTGATCGTCTGTCTGTCTATCTGTCTGTCTGTGCGTGTGTAATTTCCGGTCGGTTTATTTTAACAACGGTAAGAGTTATGGGACTGGTTTTTTCGGTATAGTGCCGACAATATATTAATTGTTCACCTAATGCGGGTTTTGACTCAGCGGGTAAATACTCCTACCCTTTTTAATTGCGGCAGTGAAATCCCGGCCGAAGGCCGGGTTACACTAGTAAATATGATAATTGCGTTAATTGTGATGGAGTTCTTGAATCTTGACCTCTGAAATCCATCAAGGACATCAGGAGTCGAGATCATACGAAATTTCACCGAACCGCATTTTGCGATTCCACATGATGGCCAACTTCAACTTGCTGTAGAAAGTTATGCCATCGATTGGCGGTGGAACAAATTTTGTAGGGTTCTTTGGACCCTATTAAACCAACGTTGAGAAACAATCTTAATAATAATAATAATAATAACGCTTTATTTGTATACCGCTTAGGCCGTATAAGCGACCAAAGTCCAAAAATGGAGTTGATACTGGCCAACAAAGCGGTGCAGATAAATTTACCTTAGTAGTCCCTTTTCTAATCAAAAATTCAAATTTATAAATTGTAGATTGATCTTAAAGTCAACTAAATTTTGTTTCATTTACCTGCCTGCCAAGGATGAAAGCAAGCTGTTTCTGGACAGCCGGATCTTTGCAGTTAGAAAATACTTCTTGTACTAGTTCCATATCATTCAACTGGATAGCACATCGCAGCGCTAACGGATACACCTAGGGAGTAGGGGTAGACAATCAGATCATTGAATTATAGTTATTAACATAATTATATACTACTATTATTATATACTATACCATGCGATCTGTGCAATTTTTTAAATAGACTGTCTCTTGTAATAATCACCGAGTTGAAAAATTAATCCAAGGTAGGTATTACGTACCTACTAGGTAACCTACAAAGTATAAAGCTTAATCAATGCAAATACTTAATCAAGTTTTGACCTAATATCTTTGGCGTCAATCCTTAAAGACAATTAGAATCTCTTATTCATCGCATCAAGTTAAATCAGACAATTTTAATTCGTGTTAAATTACATGGTTATGGTAATGGTAACACATGGTAAAATAATAATGCATATTTGTAGTATTTTAGTGTACCTCGAACTTGTAGTAGAGATTGAGTGAGGTCTTAAGGAGGTTCTTGTCTTCGGGCTCAGGAACGTAAGGTACACAACTGATTAAGTAGAGGCATACCCTCTCGTAACAACTAGCATCCACGAACTGCTCCAACAAGTCTGCCAAGAAACCAGTTATAATTTACAACTTACAATTGTACGACCATCCATAATATGTGCTTCACAATTCCATCGTTATTTTTAGTTATTATAATATCGTCGCGGTTTTTTCTAAAGGGCGAATACCGAGTTTCACTATGGCTGATAGAGGTCTTTAACATCCCAAACAGTTTGAAGTTTTATCGTGCAAGGTTTAGATTTTCAAAGGGCGAATGTTATTTTCGAGATTTCAAAAACGCCGAATGTTATACATTGGGAGTTTGATAATAGTAGTCGAATGTCACATATTATAACGTACTCTATCTACGTGCAGTATAGTGCAAACATTCGTCGTATTTTTTATGGAAGGGCGAATGTCATACAACAAAGTCATTTCAAAAACTTTAACGGCCATTATCTCGAAAGTTGTTTAACATTCGCCCTATAAAAAACCACGACGATATAATAGACTCAGTAATAAAATATTTATTGTTATTATATAACTCAAAAAGAGGTCTCGACTGCTGCCTAGGTTTCAAGCCTTGGCAGTCGTTAATTATCTTCTGACCCTAGGAATCAGAGGATTGCAAGAAGAAGTAACTGAACGTATCTACAAAAGTAGAAGCAGATTTTATATTGTTTATATATGTAAGAGACATGGCCAGCAAAGAAATTAGCAGTAAAAGACTCACCAAGGCACTCTATTTCCATCAGAAGATCACATGCCTCACTCTCCGTGTTGTGAGTCATGTCGTAAGCTACTATCCCTTTAGAGAGTACTACTAAAGCCTTCCGGGTCTCTATGGTCAAATCCGGCTCGTGGATTTGCCTTCCTATCTCTCCTGAACAAACAAATGTTAGACTTCCTATCTCTCCTGAACAAACAAATGTCAGACTTCCTATCTCTCCTGAACAAACAAATGTTAAACTTCAAACATTATAATTGTGAGCATTTTTGGATCTTTGTGAATAGTTAATAGATTTTTCGAAATGTGAGAAAAACGTGAAAAATGCTACGTTGAAAACTTAGCGCAGCAAATTATAACGAGTTGAATTAATTACGAAGTAACGAGGTGTGGCAGACGATTATCTTAGCTGTGTACTTTAAGTTTTAACATGGACTGATAGTAGGCTTATCATTTACATCACTTCAGAACAATCTGTATTCGCTTTTAAGTTTATTTATTTAGAGGAATTGGTTAGGAACACAATCACATCGATCAGTAAATTACATAAGTTACAGTTTATCTCGATTTCAAAAGCTTGCCTATCACAAATTAATAAAATATACTTGAGGGAGAAGAATGAGATTTATCAACTTATCAATTATGAATAAAAAATAATTGACAGCTCACTCGATCACGCACCTGATATATGTCTAACGTACTCGTGACCCCAATCTCCAATCTCTCCACCGGCCCCCTTCATTCTGTACTTCAGAGTGGCTTTCTCTTCCTGGTCAGGGTTCGTCATTGACAACACTGATAGTACATCTGCAAACCTGGAATTATTAGATCGTTACAAACGAACAGCAACTTTGAATTATGTAATTTCAGTTTTTCAATTAAACTTCCTAACTTTTACACTTACAGAAATCATAAATCATCTACCTTAGTTCCCAAAAATTTGTGTGCCATTATATTGAGCACAATTTATTTGAGCCCGAAAAATTTGGGCAGAAAATTTGAACTCATTTGGGCGACCAAAAATTTGGGCACAAATTCTTCGAAAAATGAACGATTTTCCACTTAAATTTCTGTTAGATATTTGCCTTAGTTCATTATTATTCCTTATTATTCCAGTCATTTTGCTTTCAATTTTAAGCATGTAGGTGGTAGTCTGAGTTGTTTCACATTATGAAATTTACGATCTGCCCAGTAACTACTAAAAAATACAGTGATGATGGCACAGTACAAAATGATAGATATACAATGAAAGGAGCTGTGATAAGTGCAAGTGTGATCTGGGGAATCATCGTCGGGGCTTTGGAAGCTCGTTTTCCAGATTTGTTGGATAGGGACAGTATAGAGTACTGTCATGTGAGACAGATTCTTTACCACTATCAGAAAACCCGCCCTAAACTCGTCAGACGTAGAGCAACAACTGCGAAGCTTCCTGTACCCGAGGGTATGCTCAAAGAGATCAAACTTAGCTTTCAACGGGAGATTCATCCGCTGGTCAAGGATCACAGCATACCAGATTCATTGGTAATTAATCACGACCAGACTCCTCTAACTTACTTTTCTGTCAGTAGCAACACCTTGGCACCGAAAGGCGCTAAAGTTATCGGTGTCAGTGGGACTAAGGATAAGAGACAGATTACGGGTAACTTTGCTGTTACGTTGTCGGCAATGTCGGGAGAATTCTTGCCTGTTCAGATAATCTATCAGGGTAAAACAAAGTGTTGTGAGCCCAAATTCAAGTTCCCATCCAGCTTCCATGTTACCCATACCCACAACCATTGGTCTAATACCCTGACCAGTGTTCAGTTCTTTGAGAAAATCCTTCTTCCCCACGTAGAATCAGTTCGAGCCTCCATCAACAACCCTGAGCAGAAAGCGCTACTGATATCAGATGTGTTTCGGGCCCAACACACACAGACACTAAATGACTAAAAGATCTGATGACAGCCAACAACTGCATCCTACAGAAAGTTCCAGCTAATATGACACATCATCTACAGCCCCTGGACATATCTATCAATGGACTGGCTAAGAAATTCATGCGCAATAAGTAATAATAATAATAATAAGTAGGAATTTATACATCGCTTTATAGCCATAAAGAACTCAAAACCCAAAGATTCAGCTCAAACCATCTAAAGCGACTCATGAGTAACATGTACATAAGAACTTATTTTTATGAAGTATGGATTTTATGAGAAAGGTAATACATGATACTTATACAAATATGTTTTCAAAGAGATGAGTTTTTAGTTTCTTTTTAAATAAGACGATATCAGTTAGTGTTCTCAATTGATAAGGAAGCTGATTCCAAACAGAGGGTCCGCAGTAGCTGAAACTTCTCTCGGTTTTACTATAGTTTGAAATAGGAGGAACATTTAGGAGGAAATAGTCTTCTTCAGTTCTTAGTACACGTACAGGTTGACTCTTGATGTCAATACATTTGGTGATATACTCCGGCGCTATGTACGAAGATTGGTACGCGAAAAACATAGTGTGTCAGCTCAATGGAGGAGTTTCATCAGACAATGTGAAAATTGATACCCGCTTGACAGTGATCCGTGAAGTACACGCTCGTTGGATCAACGAACTTTTTGTATATTTAAAAGGGAGGCCAGATGACATAAGGAAAGGCTTTGAGAAGTCGGGTATAACTGATGCTTGTAGATCAGACTTTACGGTGGATGATAATCCATTTGCAGATCTTGTTTAAATCTCTATCTATCCGTACCTCTACCCATTTGTTTTATTAGTAGAGCTGTTAGCTATTCCAGTTATTTCTATTCATTTAAAATATAATCCTTTTTACTTGGTCAAGCCATGAATGAACAGATTAGAAAACTAAAATTTCAAATATTATTTCACTTGGATATGAAGAAAAAGCCATCTTTCTATAGATTTCAGGGCCACAGGCCAAATGCCAAAAGTTTGGGCAGCAAAAAATTTAGCAGACGGAAAAGATTTATGCAATTAATTTGGTCTGCAAAAAATTTGGGCAAGAGGCCCGCTCAAATTTTTTGTCGCCCAAATTTTTGGGAATTAAGGTATATAAATTGCACACATATTATAATATGTAAATGGAGTTTTCTTGGTATCATATATATAAATATTTTTTAGGTATCTGGAAAATATTTAGCCAAGCAAAATGGTACTAATGTTAATTGTACTAATGTTAATTGTACTAATGTTAATTGTACTAATGTTTGAGGCTGAAACTTTCAGGTCGTGAAAGTAACAACATTGAATTTAGTAAATCTAACGACGAAAATTTAGAGTATTAAAATATGATAAGCAGAATGTTTTTTCGTTTGAAGTAACTCGACGCCCCCCCCCCCCCCCCCCGCCCCTTATTGATATTCATTCAACGTTCAGATTAAGGAACTATTTATAAATAGAACGCCAATTTCAACTGTCATAGCATAGTAACTTAGTTTTATTTATCTAGTAGTATAATATACGTCCCAATTCCATTTTATATTTTTTATACTGATCTCATTATATAGCTAGAGCTCTAGAGTGAAAGGTAAATATTAAAACGAATTAGCTGTAGCACTTAACAAGTGCAACATGCATATGCCGGAGGAGTTTATAACACAAAACGGAGGAGTTTATTATAACACAAAACGCCGGCACGCTTAAAGTTATATTAAAATAGCCCCTCGTGCTAAAGCACGTCGGCGTTATTTTCATAATAATCCCTCGTGCTTCGCACTCGAAATCATTATCAACTTTTACCGCGCATCGCGGGAAAAATTGAAATATAATCCTTGTGCGTGCCGGCGTTATGTGTGTTATTATTATAAACCATATCAAAGTTCAAAATTGATACTGGAAATAGCATTTGAAGACCGATATTCGCATCCAGTGCTATTTTATACCTCTGTCCTCTTACTATACTATTACTATACTCCGGAGCCGAAATGTGGCCCCAAGGATTGGAACTAAAGATATGATAGTGTACCTTAATGATTCTATTCGAGAATGACCTTACAAAGCTCCCTGTGCCAAGAACAATTTTAGACAACGAAAAGCATAGTCGAGAAGGCCTTGCTTTTAGTAGTAGTTTTTTTGGTTTGGGCTTCAGTGAAAATCAGTCTTTCTATTTCTTCTCCAAAAGTCCCTGGGACGGGGGGCTAATACAAACATATTGCGGTCAGCCAACGTTGAAGTCTATAAATATAAAGTATATAAGCCCTAATCTCTGTGGACTGAATTTCCCATTTACACACATAATATGAAATATGGGCGTGGTCACAAGGGGTTGGGACAGGCGACACAACATGTACATGTGCACCTAAGGGGTTTGATGACCTATTTAACATGATTCATGAGGGGTAAAGAAACTCTATGCAGAACACTCACAACCTCTCAGCTACTAGTACTACAGTATAATAGGAAATATAATTTTTTAAACATGTTTGACCCAGTCGCGATTGCAAAGTTTGGTACAAAATACAATTTCTTCATCTCTGTACTAGAAATAAGTGTTTTAGTGCACGAAGAGCCTTCCCAGTCAATTTGTCGTGCAAAAAAAACATGGGTTTAGACACCAAACATGCCAGGAAATCTAGCGTAAACAATTTTGACCAATCGCGACTGGGAAATTTGGAACGCAACATATATAATACGGTATATAATACGGTATTGTTTTTTCATTTTTTCGCAATAAATGTTTTAGGTCTTTGGGAACCTTCCCAATCGATTTGTCGTACAAAAATACATAAATTTAGATCCCTTAGTTTTCTCGCTTCCTAAGACCTTTGAGAGGCCCCAAAAATATTTTCAGCCCTCTACTATGAAATGCAGGCCTCTACTATGAAATGCAGGTTATCACCTGATTTTATCCATAACTGACCGGACTAACTTTTGTACTTTCTAATTATTCTTCCACATCACTGTTTACATATCTTTAAAGTGTACGTGTTAATTGCTAAATGTTTACTTTAGTGTCAAATAGGCTCTGTTCTCTATCATTCAATATTTTATAATTAGTTACAGTACGTTTCTAGACTAGGTGGTTAGAGCCTTCTGCGTAGAATCCCATTGTCACCTAGTCTAGGGAGTAGCTAAGAATCCATTGGATCAATGCGATCTCATCGGTCGACTCAGCCGAATAATAGGAAAACTTGATTGAGGGTTAAATGAGGAGGGGTACCTACTAAAAGATCAAGAATCTTACTAGGATACCCCTTCAGTAAATCTACATTGTAGTGTACTGTAAACATAGTACTATTAAATATTAATACTTTCTTCGGATATTTTGTAGCTTTAGTTGCTTTCTATAAATAAATAAATAAATTCTAACATTTATTACACGCTTCGACATTAAAATATACCCAACAAAGATGTACATTTAAGTCATTCAAGCGAGACTTAGTGTTGAAATACCAAGATTATGAACTTTTATCAGTTCAGATTTTATGAACAAATATTTGCATGAAGTTCCCAAAATTATGCACTTTCATATCAGTTCAGACTTTATGGACAAATATTAGAAATATTATCAAAAGCTAGGTGGAAATAAAACGTCTTTAGAGCATTTTTAAAACATTCTACAGATGATAATGATCTCACTGAGTAGGGTAGTTCATTCCAAATTTTTGGTCCACAAAACATAAATGCAGCATCCGTTCGTCTGAAATGAGGAGCAGGAGGAACTTTCAACAAATAAAAGTCATCATCTAGTCTGGAACTTTGTCTTCGTACTTCCCTTAGATTGATGTGTCCTTGTAAGTACTGAGGGGCTATGTTATTAAGACACTTGAAGACCAGAAGTGATATTTTGAACTTGATTCTGAACCGAACAGGTAAAAAGTGGAGCTTTTTGAGGTAAGGCATGATAGGTTCACGTATATTTTTTCCGTAAAGACCAAAAATAAATCTAGCAGCATTGTTCTGTATCTTTTGTAGCTTATGGAGATTCTTTTCTGTTATACCATAATAGACTGAGTTGCAGTAGTCTATGAAACAGAGAATATTGGAGTGAACTAACTGAACTTTTAGTTCATGGGAAAGCTTTGAACCGATTCTTGATAAGTCCCTTTGATTCAAATAACATACTTTGGACACAGCATTTATTTGAGAGTCCAGATTCATTTGGTGATCGAAAAGGAATCCCAGGTTCTTGGCCTTGCTAACAGGACAGATTGAGAGGTCTCCTAAATCCATTGTCTGGATTGGGCTGACATATGGTCCTATATCAATGAACTCTGTTTTTTCATCATTTAGTTTTAGGAAGTTAACTGTCATCCATTGCTTTATCTCCAGAAAGCAATTTTTCACAGCTGTTAAATCAGGATTAGAACTGTGAACATCGAAAGCAAAGTACACCTGTGTGTCATCTGCATACAAATGTATCGAGAAACCATATTTTTCTTATATTATCACATTCTCTAGCATTGAGGAATGCAAATTTGGACTGCAAGGGGTGACTACTACTGCTACTACTATCGTGCAGTTAGACTATAACTATGCAGACAGTCATAGAGTTCTGGGGTTAGCCGCTCAGAACAACAATTTTAACTTGTAGTGAAAATTAAAATTGATGTAGAATCAAGGGGGAAAGATATTTCCCCCTATACCAGACATTTTATAATTTAATAGGTCACAACTGAAAGAATGGAAGGAAAACCAATTAAAGGAATAAGAAAACTAATTTAAGGAAAACCAATTTAAGATGGTGTTGCAGTGTTCGTATATTACCATGGTCATGTTTACAGTTCACTTTACTTGTGTGAGGGCTAACACAAATTTTTCAATTGATCACATAACTCAAACCGAAACTAACGTTTTCTTCTCGTCGCCTTCAGGCCAGGTTTCGTACAGCTCTCTGAACATTAGATAGTGAGGTCTGAGGAATTTTAGAGGCTTGGGAACTGATGTCATGGAACTGGTAGCACTTCTGATAGACTTAGACATCGCTTCTAGAGCTGAGGGTAAAATAGTTTAACTAAAATAATCCGAATTTGTGAATAATATATTATGATAAATCATATAATGGAATCATAATCAATGTTTGTGTTAATTGTTTGATAATATTACTCGATCAAGATTTTAGAGAAGATTATGGAAAGATATTTGACACTCACTTGGGGCCCAGAGACTCTGATCTTTTTCCTGAAGCCTAGTTACTAACATATCTAGATCTTCTTTTATTGCCCGATCTTCCTCACTTAGCTCTTCTGAAAGCAGCCACCCGTTACTTAGACATAGTCAAAAGGACAACACGGATTTGATAGCAAGGAAAGTAAGAAAAAATTGTTTTGATAATTTAAAATCCTAAGATTTACCTATGGGAGTTTCCTCTGGTACCTCCTCTGGTTTATCTTTATCTTTTTCATCTTTCTTATCCGAAACTTTCTTATCTGTAGCTTTGGTTACTGGAACAGGAGAATCTTTTGCAACCATACTTTCGCTACTACTGCATAGTAATACAATTCAATGTGCATCGTTGCATTGTAGCTCAATGTCAAAAGTTATTTGATACACTAATTTCAATTTCTGATTATTTATAAAGCAATAATATGTGGATGACAGTGGTGTAACGACCTCCCTCACATGGGGGCATTTACCGAATTCTAGGCATTTTTGGAAGAAGAACGCAAGGAACATATTTGGTGGTACAAAATGCTACCAGGGCTGCAAAAAAGGTTTAACCTTTTTTCAGGACATAGGAAACATTTGAGGGGCAGCAAAAACATTAAGGGGGGGGGAGGGCAAACAGGGACGTTACATCACTGTTGGATGGCAATTACCTTTTTATCTGTAATCATTTGGGAAGTTATGTCTGTTGTTTACTGTTTAGTCAAGAAAACTCACGAATGTTTAAAGCAATACATGTTCAAAAATTTAAATCTCAATCTTTGGAACAGTTAACGCTAAAAACCACATTTTGAAAGGCTATATAATACCGCGTTATCGATCATCGCTTCTAAGCAGTATTCAGTGATAACTTCCACAGTCCACATGCTCTAAGAGTATCAACTTTGTGGCAAGTGGCAACTTTTCACAATATCAAAAACTATAATCAGCTTTGAAGAACGCCAGAACGTAACGGTGCTTAAATATCAATAATAGTTATAATAATTGAGACCACGTATAATAATTATAGTGATAAATCATCTACGTCACGTGTTCATCATAAATAAGCATGTGCAGAAAGTTGTATTACATACTTCATTTTACCAAGAATGGACAAAATTGAAACATCTTTTAATGAACTTTCTCCAATTTCCAACAAGTCGTCATCAGAAGGGATATAATCCGGATATTATAACAATGATTACCACGTGACATATTCAGTTTTTACATAAACTGCATAAAGTTGCCAGTACTGGTGCCAGACTGATTATATACTCTACTAGTATATTACAAGTTGACGGCTTTAAAGAGTAATACTAATATAGCAGATCATATAAAACAAGCGACTAAAAATACTTCCTTAAATACATTTCGTACGAAGATTTTAGTAGTCCAGGATGAGCATCACAAATTCTTATCTAAATTGAAGATATGCGAATATCATCAGTATCGATGTATATCTAAGATTTAAATAACATATTTTTCGGATTTGTTCTAACATTATTTGCAAGATTTTATATTATAATTTTGCCACTATAGTATAATTATTGTTCGTGAAATAGTTTAAAGCGAAAGCATCATATTTTAAGCTTGCAAGGTTTCAAAAATTTCAAATTAATAAAATATTATATTATACAATGAAATAATGTAATATTATGCAAAGTGCAGATAACATATTCATTTCGAACCACAACACATATTTTTAAGCAAGGATAGTACAGCAGAATTTAAAGAATTATCATTCAAAGCTAAGAATTAAAGAAATTAATGTAGATTTCTGATTTCACCAGATAATATTCAAGATTTTTAACTCCAGATCCAAATTTCAAAATACCTCAGTTACATTGTTTGAAGATTGAAACTAATATCCGTGAAATACATTTTGTAATGATAGTTATTGAAATAAATTGAAGTTTTAACATCAATATAGCAATTTGTTTATGGCATACTTAAATTTAGACAGAATATTCTGCGTTCGATGCCCGGAATAATATTGAGAGATGCATCTGTCTGACCACTGAGTCCACCGAGTGACACACTGAGTCCACCAAGTGACACACTGTGACACCAAGTGTCACACTTGCACTGTGTCCACCAAGTGACGCTCTGTGTCCACCAAGTGTCACACTGTGTCCACCAAGTGACGCACTGTGTCCACCAAGTGACACACTGTGTCCACCAAGTGTCACACTGTGTCCACCAAGTGACGCGATGTGTCCACCAAGTGACACACTGTGTCCACCAAGTGTCACTCTGTGTCCACCAAGTGTCACACTGTGTCCACCAAGTGTCACACTGTGTCCACCAAGTGTCACACTGTGTCCACCAAGTGTCACACTGTGTCCACCAAGTGTCACACTGTGTCCACCAAGTGACACACTGTGTCCACCAAGTGACACACTGTGTCCACCAAGTGTCACACTGTGTCCACCAAGTGACGCACTGTGTCCACCAAGTGACACACTGTGTCCACCAAGTGTCACACTGTGTCCACCAAGTGACGCGATGTGTCCACCAAGTGACACACTGTGTCCACCAAGTGACGCGCTGTGTCCACCAAGTGACGCGCTGTGTCCACCAAGTGACACACTGTGTCCACCAAGTGTCACACTGTGTCCACCAAGTGACACACTGCGTCCACCAAGTGACACTCTGCGTCCACCAAGTGACACACTGCGTCCACCAAGTGTCACACTGCGTCCACCAAGTGTCACACTGTACTGTGTCCACCAAGTGTCACACTGTGTCCACCAAGTGTCACACTGTGTCCACCAAGTGTCACACTGTGTCCACCAAGTGACGTACTGAGTCCACCAAGTGTCACACTAGGTCCACCAAGTGACGCACTGTGTCCACCAAGTGACGTACTGTGTCCACCAAGTGACACACTGTGACCACCAAGTGTCACACTGTGTCCACCAAGTGACGTACTGAGTCCACCAAGTGACACACTGTGTCCACCAAGTGTCACACTGTGTCCACCAAGTGTCACACTGTGTCCACTAATGCGCACCAGTGCAAAGCAGCGTGTGTCAGGCACTTCTAATGAGAGAACAATGAGTACGGGTTAGAACAATGTCGGACAATACACGTTTACACCTGCGGCCACATCGTCACGGTTACGACTAATAGAAGTTCTTGTCACGATGTGAACCATGCGACCGCGACCAGCTTAGTATTTCGGCAGAGGATAATGAAATAAAGCTTTGACTTAAACCTAGAGGAGGGTAACATATTATGTATACTAGTACTATTGTGTATCTAATACTATTACTATTACTTTTACTATTAGTGATCTAGTACTATTGCTATTACTATGTGATCTAGTACTATTACTATTACTGTGTGATCTAGTACTATTACAATTACTGTGTGATCTAGTACTATTACAATTACTGTGTGATCTAGTACTATTACAATTACTGTGTGATCTAGAGACGATCAAGTAGACAAAAAACTGGATCCAACCTTGCGTTCCAGAGATGGCGTGCGCCAAATTTTGAGGTTTACTTGTAATTACAAGCAAAACTGGAAATTTACACTTTTTGAAATGATTAACCTAACAATTCGAGAACTGAGTCAGAAAAAAACTATCGCTAAATAAAGTTTCTAGATAATTGTCCAAGGAACCACTGTACCAAATCTCAAAATCAGGGAGTGGCTGGTTTTCTCAATTAAGGAACCGAAAATGTCAAAAAGGTTAGAGTTTTTTACATAATTACAAGCAGTCCTCAAACTTTATGGTCCCTAAATATTTATGGTCCCTAAATTATTTCATCCTTTATGCAGGGACTAGTATATTCACTACTAGTTGGGGCCTCACAACCCCCACACCCGAGTGCTTTCTATCCTTTTGTGAATAAGAGTTTTATTGGAGTTCTAACCTTATCTTATCTTTACTAGGTACTGATGATGACCGAAAATATTTTCCCCATGTTGTGAAGATTTAATTGGAACTTTTAAAAAGTCATTCGTTGTTTGATTGCGGGAACTAACGATTTTGACCTCAAACTTTGGTCTGTGCCATCTCTGGAATGGAAGGTTAGATTTTGATCAATGCTTTTTCTACTTATTTGTCTATCGCATATTATGTGAAAGCTGAAAAATGGATGTTTATCCCAACTCCCAAGTACACACTCAACTAATCCCTGCTACAAGTACACACGATGGATCACGTGTACAAACGGAGGGTCACGTGCGTACTTTTAAAAGGCAATCTAAACGAGGTATCATTATGTACATATCATTGCAACGATCAACAAGCACTGTCAGTAAAGTTTAAAGTTCCAAGCAGTGCGGTCTCCTGAACACCTCGAGTATCATAATGTGCATAACAGCGCATTATAGGACATCACCATGATAGATTACATAGTTTATCAAATGCAGTAAAAGTGCAGTATAGGGGTATATATATAATCCTGCTCTATAGATAGTTCAGAATGTGGAGAATGTGATATTTCTAAAAGAGATCAGATAATCCCATCCTTAAACTGGAAAGGTTAACCTAATGGTTGCGTATATATGAACACTGTGTGTAATACAGATAAGACATGTAATCTCCAATACAAAGTAATCAATTGTAGGCGAGATAGCTGAATGCAGATGGTTATAGCATCGGGAGGTCGTGGGTTCAATTCCCGCTCTTGGCACATATCACCCCGACTTTTCACGAAACGTACTACCTTACTACTTTTGATTCATTGTAGCTCCATGCTTCAAACAAGCCAAAGCTAAAGATCAAATATTAATGTTTCACGCTTACTGATCTGTAGTACATTAGTGTACTACTAATATTAATGTTTCACGCTTACTGATCTGTATACATGTATACTGTGTACATTAGTACTACTAATTCACCCTGGGCAGACTAATTTGAATATTCAGATTTTTCTTTATTTGTGAGCTCTAGTTCTTTATTTAGAAGATTTTGGTCGATATTCAAATTCCACCCAATGAATATTTGATAAATTTTGTCAGAATTTATTCCGTGAATTATTTACCTTACTTCAAACGAGATTAATTAATAAAAGTCTGATTTTGAGATAAAATGTTTTACAACATACCATAGCAATTGTAGTAGTTTCAAGCATCTTCTCCAAACCAAATATAATAGAGGTATTTTCAAATCAATTGTAATACCTTCCATGTATAATATCATATTATATATTATCCATTATTAATTCTCATATCATTATTATCTTGTATTGCAATTATAGATCACTAATAGCTGAGGCAATGCCGAAAGTAGAGCCTCAATCAAACTCCCTTGAATTGAAGCTCAAGCCATTTTTGATCCAATTTTACAAAAAAATGATTAAAAACTTTTTAAAACAATAAATTAATAATACAAAACTCTTTCCGCTAAAACCATCTTGAGATTTATGAAATGCTAATATAATATCGAAATAGTCGTTAGCGGATGGTACAAAGTTCCGTAAAAGGAGCTACTGTACAGAAGTACAGATAAACGAGACTTACAATTATCTCTAGGAAGAAAAAGATAAACGCTGATCAGTAACATGTACTCAACTACTTTGCCAAAATTGAATTAATTCTCTTAACAGCAATATCAAATGCGAGAATATATGAGATCCTTGAAGCAGAAATGTAGCCAGAATTTAAAATAATTACCATATTTTGTTCCACACATTTCGTGTCTTAGAATACTCGGTGCACACGACCAATTAATATAATATTTCTTAAATAGCCACTATGTAGTAGAGAATATAGTTCTTGTATTATAAAATATCCATATTTTTATGAAAAATAACCCTCTAATAACATATAATAATAGACAGTAGCTTGTTGTACTGGATTTATCATTTGGATACCAGTATCCAATAACCTAAATAAAATCTGTTTATCGAGACCAAATCGTTCTAGATACCGACAAGTCTTAGTTTATATCATTTTCAACGTGTTGCCTGCATGCATTATTTTGTATCATCAAAAAATAAGAATCCCAAACATTTGCATTTTCTCCCTCACTTGATTTGCATCTTGATATTGAGTATTAAATCCTGTTAATCCTGAGTCTTTAGGCACAACGCGTTCGGACATATATTGCCTTGCGCTCACCCAACATGTCTCTCAATAACAGCAGAATAATATTTCCTTCTTTCTCTTCTTGTTACTCTCACCGACATCTTCAACACTGTCTACAAAAAGTTTCGTTCACGATATGACCAGATTATTAAGACGTCGCAAGCTTCAAAAAGCCTCGTCCTTACTCATTTACAACTACGTTGAACTCGTTTCTTGCTTCATCTGTTTTCCGGAATCTTCTTCATCGATGGCCATGTTTAGCCGCTGTTTTTGGGAATTTACAAGCTGCATCTTCCAATTGATGCGCTCATTAGCACTGAACATCTGGAGACATGCCTCTACTCCGTGCTCCTCGTACACGTGCTGTTTTAGAAGACACTTCTGGGTGTATGTCTTGGTACAGAATGCACACTTGATCTTCATGTTCCAGTGTATGGTGTAAACGTGCCGATTTAGGGAGCTTCGTTGTGAGAACTTCCTGTGACAAATCTTGCATGAGTACTTCTTATAGTCCAGGAACTGGTTCAGGTTATTTCCACCCTCCCCGCTGGAGGACTCAGAGGATGGAGTCTGAGTGTGAGGCGGATGGATAGCCTTGATGGGAGGAGGAGGGGGTGGAGGGGGTGGAGCGTACTCTTGAGGAGGAGTAGTGCTGCTGCTTCCAGACTCTGTTGTTGCAAACGCGTTCCCAGAGCTGGGAGTGCTTTGAGAGGTGAATATGTTGGTAGTGGAGGTAGAGGAGGCTGTAGGGATACAACTAGCAGCTATCAGTTGGGATATAAACGCGTTGTTTTTCTGGATGTTCAACAAAGGGAGACCTTCTTTCTTTCCGAGAAACGATTGCAGTGGTTGGGTAGTCGGAATTGGACTGGGCAGGTTTGACAGGGATCCGTTTTCATATTGTGCTCTTATGTCAGGCGGCTGTCCTGGTCTCGGGATTATAGAGGGAAGAGGGTTTCCAAAGGCTGTGTCGAATCTATGAAGTGGAATTGGGGGAAGTGGAAGGTGTCGCCGGTCCTGAAAAAACGAACGCTCACGATTTGGATCAGGAGGGGAATCTTTCATGTAATAGTTGACTTCAGGCATGTAGGACAGATTCGGTGTTCTCATCAGATTAGGAGTCACAGCTGGGGGCATGTTTCCATTTCTATAGTCCCTCATTTGATCTTCATTATCTTCAGGAGAAGTACCAGGAGTACAAGAGGAAGTTCTTTCTCGAACTTTCGGTGATTCCTGGTCCTCATTAGAGCTGTGGGCACTTCTTGAGCTACCTCCACTGGTGTTGCTTTGACAGGGAGACGGTTTCCCCTTCGGAGACATCATTTGCATTGGTCCCTCATCTGAGTGGTGCTGCATGGGCTCATGGTTGGGGTGTGGTGGAGCAGGGCTTCTGTCGTCTTCATCCTGTCCATCATCTTCATCTCCATTGTATTTCAAATGCTCAGGCACGTGGCCAACGGGGACTCCGTGATGAGGTAGAGGCTCTTGGATGGGTCCTTGAGGATGGTAGCTGTGCATGGGCACTTCACGAGGTGGCTGAGGGGAAACATCTCGGCGAATCTCCTGCACATGATCGTGCTCTTCTGGCATAGTTTCAATCACCTCCTGAGGCTCATCAGGGTTGTTAGCAGGACATCTGTGGTGCCTTAGACGCTGTTTTGACTGGAAGTGATTGTGGCATTTGGTGCACACAAAGGAAAGCTTGTAATGGGAGAGGCGTACGTGGCATTTCAGGTGAGATTGCTTGTGAAAACGGGCCTTGCAAAGCTTACACTTATAGCACTTTTGATAAGACAAATTCCTCAACTTAGCACCAGGTGACAGAGGAGGCATTGATCCATCGTTTTCCTTGTTATTATCGTCTTCCTGAGGATCAGTCTTGGGCTTGTACGACTTGAGACTCTTGAGGAGCTGTCTAGCTACTTTGGTTCGTACCTGAAAAGGTTGTTCAATTTTACGATAATAATTTATTTATTTTAAAGAGACTATTTGTTTAATTAAAAAAGGTAGATATGATAATATAACACTAATAACTCAATAATAAAATACCTGTGCCGTCTCCTCCATTATCATAATCTCCTGCTCCGAGATATTTGATGGAATATTATCAGCCTGCTCCAGCCAACTCAGCGAGTTTAACGCGTTCTCCGTCTCCTCTAGAGCGGTAAAGATGCTCTGCTTGATGAACTTGAACGCAAAGTCCAGCTGTGACTTCTTGGGTGGGTCGAACTTGGGTTCAGCCGGTTCAGGACTTCTAACGTGTTGTTGCTCCTGTTCCATTTCGCTAGGAATAGTTTAGACGGTTAGGTTCGAATAAAGTTAACAAAAGAAAAATTTCAATGTCAAATTCATATTCAGAGCTGTTTTATGATGTTTTCATAAATAACAATTAAGTTACATTTTACTTTAAATAACAATTAAGTTATATTTTACTTTAAATAACAATTAAGTTACATTTTACTTTGATTATTAAGCTTTCAAACAATGGAATAAAAGTAGACGAAATGGGATTTAATGATCGAATTTGCAAGAAAGACAACTAGGTACAATAAAATGGATAGTTGTTAAAAGGCTATTTTCCAAAAGTGGGCATGGTACAGTGTCGCAACTTTTCTGCTACTAAAACATAGCACCTCGGTGAAACAACAGGATCAAATAGACCGAGTATAGATGGCTCAATCTCATTATCATGCAAAAATAGCATTCGATCGATCAATATCAAAGATTCAATAACCCGAGTGAGTAATATTCTCAGTTGATGAAAGGCATAAAGCTGCCGCTCTACCGTCCCATCATTAAACCTTTCATAGTATGATTGAATCACAGGATCTGAAACGTCACAGAGTTTCAACTTTTTGAGTGCGGTTTTGCAGTACCTAAAGAAATCTGGGGCTGCACTGGCTGAATGTCCAACATTGCGTGCAGGCAATGAACCAAACTCGTCTTGCAACAAAACATGAAAGACAGCTCTGTAAAACAAATTCTTGGCCGGTAAAGATCTTGACGTTGACATTCGTTCTGGAGCTTGGCTGGCTAAATTCAGTGCATTTCGCGTGAAGTAAAGAGGGTACTGCTGCAAGTACTTTGATGTTGGATAAGCGTGAATTGAATTAGGATCACAGAGTTGTTTTTTATGAGGGCCATCTGACATGTAAGATTGGGTCCTCTCTTTCTGAGTGATCAAATGGTAACAACATCCTACCGCAACGATAGATTTCAGCTGAGGGCAATTTATGAAGGTCTGAAGAAGTAGTGAAGTTAGGTCCCCGCAGGCATGCAAACCGACTAACATAGTTCCACCACAAGGAGATATAAAACCTTCAGACAAACTCGAAACGTTACTGACAAAATCTTTACAAATGTGTTCTTCTTTCAGTTCTAAAGTGACAGGATGGTAGTGATTCATTGAGTTCTTGTCTAAATTTGAGTTACCATCGTTCAGTTTTTTAAAAAGTGGCAGCCACAGTTTCTCCATGAGTCTGTTTCTTTGTGAACCGCCTAATGTATTAACTTTTTCACGATCAAGGCCAACAACTTGTATTCCAGGTGATGTCAAGGCAATATACTCTGGCAGATATCCTTTCCCACTGCCAAAATCAATAACTTGTGAAATTTCCTTATTCCTTTCAATGATGTCCTTCACAGCATTACCCATCCTAAACACTTCATGCTGCTTTTTAGGACTCATGCCTAATTTAACAAATCCCTCTGGTATCCCGGACTCAACCATGGTAAACGAACCGTAGATATCAAGACAATCACTAACAAGCATGGCTAGTGATTCAGGGGTATTTGAAGTGACTGGGAAACATTTTGGATCAGGTAGAAGAGAAATATCGTGATCAGAGAGGCTCAACAAATATTTTGACCACCCTAACTCTTCAATGAAACTCCATTGATCATCCACCAAAAACGATACTAAAGGTGAATCTATCAAAACCTTGTATTTATCCAGTAAACCTCTGCACTTGTTTGCTTTGCATTCGAGTTCGTGCTTCTGGACCATGATACGTATACTCTGTGATTAAACAAGATAGTAATAGTAAGATTTAACAAAAAATAAAAAGAGACAAGGTTTAATCTGGAACCTACCACAGAATAAAAGGCGCAAAACTGAGTTCGATCGGGTCACGTACACATAATATAGCTTTGCAATAATGCTAAACTGTAAAGCACACAGAGCTTCATGCACGGTCAATCTTACAACGTGTGTTGAGCAGTGCACACATCTTGCGCTAGAAAGCAAGATAATAATATGATGATACCACAGGTAGCATAATTAATGTGCTGCTCTCTCTCGCTTGTGACGAGAAAACATGCACACTCGCACGTAATATTATTATTGCAAGCATGGATATATCGATTAGATAGATTAAACTTGACTATCGTAGATTGCTGTTATAAAATATGATAACATATAATATGTAATGCTAGATAGCATAGATAATATTGTCGTATATTATGGCTGTCGACTTATCTAGGTTGGATAATACATGCACAAGTATATTAGTGGGGACTGGGGAGCAATATAATATGTAGTTCAGGTATGGTAAGACACGTGATATGATATTATGATACGATCGGTTCGATATATCAAATAATCACTACATGTGGTTAGAACCTGGGTACATGACAAGGTCTTTTAGAACATATAGGCGAATATGACGTCTTTACTCGCATAAAACAGCATTCCGTCCCAAGGGCGGCCCCTTGTAAATTAGAAAAACGAGACAACTTTCAGTGGAAATGACGAGTTGAACTTGAATAAAAGAAACTGAAATATGCAAGAATTTGGTCAAGTAAACATAACCTGCTGCAAGGCGTAGTGATGGAACCAGAACACCTGGTAGCAAAACGTGTACAACCATCCTCAATACACTTGTTTATTGAAGGTAGGGTCAATACACTTGTTTATTGAAGGTAGGAGCAATACACTTGTTTATTGAAGGTAGGGTCAATACACTTGTTTATTGAAGGTAAGATCAATACACTTGTTTATTGAAGGTAGGATCAATACACTTGTTTATTGAAGGTAGGGTCAATACACTTGTTTATTGAAGGTAGGATCAATACATTTGTTTATTGAAGGTAGGGTCAATACATTTGTTTATTGAAGGTAGGGTCAATACACTTGTTTATTGAAGGTAGGGTCAATACACTTGTTTATTGAAGGTAGGATCAATACACTTGTTTATTGAAGGTAGGGTCAATACACTTGTTTATTGAAGGTAGGATCAATACATTTGTTTATTGAATGTAGGGTCAATACATTTGTTTATTGAATGTAGGGTCAATACACTTGTTTATTGAAGGTAGGGTCAATACATTTGTTTATTGAAGGTAGGGTCAATACACTTGTTTATTGAAGGTAGGGTCAATACATTTGTTTATTGAAGGTAGGGTCAATACATTTGTTTATTGAAGGTAGGGTCAATACATTTGTTTATTGAAGGTAGGGTCAATACACTTGTTTATTGAAGGTAGGATCAAATTTCGCGGACAAAACATGATAAATTTAAATACATGGCATTTACTAAGCATTATTAGTACTCGTAAATCCTAGGCAGGCCCACATATATTATATTATATGGAACTACGAATAGAAGCGCCCTAACTCGAAACGTATTATTCATATATATATAGCTATATTAGAGCTCAGTGAACCCAAACACCACCACCACATAACATCAACCTCTAGCAAAAGACGTAGTAGTCAGACAGATTACCCCACTCTGCAAACGACGAGCGACTCATGCAACGTAGGCTCCGAGATCATGAAGAAAGACTAAGAACGACTAACAAGGCAGAGAGAGAGGGAGAGAGTCGACAATGGGGGCCCAGCATACGGCTCAACACACAATAGTCTAGCAGTGCGGGCAAGATGTATTATTATGTACAGATCCGACACGGGGCAATTAGACCAAGTACACAACAAGTAATTCAGGCAAGAAACTCTCCCTCCCCGCCATGAGAGAGAGAGTGAGAGAGAGAGAGAGAGAGAGAGAGAGAGAGAGAGAGAGAGAGAGAGAGAGAGAGAGAGAGAGAGAGAGAGAGAGAGAGAGAGAGAGAGAGAGAGAGAGAGAGAGAGAGAGAGAGAGAGAGAGAGAGAGAGAGAGAGAGAGAGAGAGTACATAGCTCATCATCATCACAGTGTATTGTGTGAGTGGTAGCTCAGAGCTCTCATCATTGGTCACACAACGGCTAATGTACACCTCATAGAATAATCAACATCACAGAAATTAACCGACCTTCAAATGACCTCGTTTATACCAAATTTATACACACGGCATCGTTGGGATGAATGGGCCCACCAAATGAAGCCATCACTCCTGAGAGGCATACAACAAGTGGCTGATATGAATGCAAGTATTAAAAGTACAAATCAAAAAGCCAAGCCATTATCCCATCAAATGTGAAAGTGTAATGGTATAGTTTAAATGATTATACCCTGACCAGAAACAACAAACATGCCTTCTACTTTGCAACTAGTGCCCAAGATCGGAAATTTTGAATCAGTAATTAGTGACCTAATTAGGCTTAATTGGGTCAAATAACAGGTCGTAAGTTAGTTCTGAAAGGTGGGAAAGGTGGACGGACCGACACGTAACCGCACTACACACACGCATAGTGTACAACTGACTTGCAGGTATATACAAGGAAATAGCTGGCGGTACAATACATCCGCCTGTACAGCACAGACATCAGCTGACATGACCACGTGTTAAAATAGTACAGTGTGCAGTGTGCAACTGTCTCAACATATCCTGCCTGTTGGCTGTTATTCATAACACGGACTACACTTTCTGGTCGAAATCTTAGCACAAGCCTGGCTACTTAGCACCGTTATTTGCAGGAGATATAGATGATATGATCGAGTCATGAAAGTCATGAAAGTCAAAAATGATCAAAAAAGTAGGGCAGGGCAAGTCTAGCTGGTGCACACTACACACATCCTGCAGGGTGCAGTAGACACCACGTGAGAGAGTCATGTGGCCACCGCTTGTCTGGACTGGACTACCTTAAGGAACATTAACTAGACAACGGCACTTCTCGGAAACGTGCCAACAATCACGCGACACCAAACTCCACTCCTCATTGGCGGACAGGCCTCTCTCTGCGGTGTGATTGGCTAGATAGTTGGTCTGGGATGTGCGAGGTATATTGTAGAGGTATAAAGCAACAGGACACCTGACTTAACTTTAGCTTTGGGAAATAGTCCATTATCTTACTATAACGGAGTGTACACTCGACCTATCATAGTATTGAATACACGCGACACTTAGATGGCTAAACATAATCAATAATCACAAAGACAACTCTGTACTCTAGTAGCAGAGTGTAGAGTACTCATGGTGGGAACATTAGAAAGAAATAAGAATATAAGCTTTACATTTTGTACAGTTGAAACTTTAAAGCGGTCTGGAAAGATTTAAAGAACTACTCGTTTCTACACTGAGAAAATAGCGGGGAACTAAAGGTTATTGAAAAAGTGCTTTTACCCAATCAGTAGGTATATTTATTAGTGTAAGATATCAAAGAACACCTAAAAACTGTGTAACAGTAACATAATACGTACTAATAAAACTTACTCTATAGAAAATCACGGGAATTTGAAAACAAATATTCTCTGTAATTAATAAACCGGCGAGGAGAAATATTTACTGCTTACACAGCAGTTCACACAATCTGACGAGTAATCACATAGTAGAACTTGGAAACGCGGCTCAGATCGAAGAAAATACTGTCAAGTCTCACTCCAAAGCACCTCAACATTGTGCACGTGTAGCCTAAGAGAGACGCAAAGCAAACATGTACCTTCTAGAAATGGGCATATTGCTGTTTCAATTATCACTTCTTTACGTAGAGAGGTATTACAACCCTCCTGAACCAAAGCTTCGCCGATATATAGAGCGGAGCGTCAGCGCAGCTTCAACAATTCCAGATATCCAGCTCAAATATTAACGTGTTTGTGTGCCGACATGGACTAATACAAAAAATACCGACCAAACTTGTATGAGTTTCATTAGTATACCAGGAAGGCGTGAATGAAGCAGTACAAGGCTAGCGTTCAGCACATCACCGTAGAAATATGTAGAGCAATTAGTACTGAGATGCAGGAATAATGATAATATATAACAGAGAATTCTGCATGTGATACAGTACCAAATATTACTCAGAGAAATACACCGCCAAGGAGATGCAGGACACTCTGAGTAAGTACACTAAAACTACACGTAGAGAAAGGAGCTGTGTTACGGAGGGGAGCTACTCATCCAACTACTAATGAGACAATTACTAGCTCTGAACACAGACGTTAGTAAAATGGATGTACTACCAGTACAGCTCTCTCTTTCTCTCTCAGCTCTCTAGAGGTACAATGGACATAACTCTGCTAAATTACGCCTCGTAACAGACTCTCCTCTAGTTCGAGACTCAAGATTCTGTCTGGTGCGTACGAAACGGTTAATTGAGCCGGACGATAAAAGCATCATGAACTTTAATGATTGGAGGATATAATAACCACCACCCGCACCCCAATTATATGTCTTAATGGCTAAATGTATTGTTTTATAAACATTTTCGCCATGACCAAGATCGAAAATTCTTATGGTTACTGTAATTAATTATATCATTATAAAATGATATAAAATAATATAACATTTATACAGAAACTACAGATGTACAGACACACTAACAAGAAAGAGTATGAAGTGCAGTAGTTAACCTCGCAGTGTGATGATTGCTTATTCAACAACACACTCATTCTTTAGACCGCGCCGTTACAGTGGGTAGTTATGTTTAAAATCGATTATTTTATAGTTCATTTCCAATTCATTTTCGGATTGAAAATGCTGATAGCTAGATCGCAAAGTTAACCACCAGACTTGAAAAGACATGCTGAATCAGTTGCGTGTCAGAGAAAACATAACATTGAACAGTAAGACATAAGACAGAATATTCACTTGGACAGTGATAGGGGGAGGTATGGGGTGGTCTACAATACAACACTTGTTAGTACACACACACCGTCTCTCACATTCCATTCCCTTTTAGAACATTCTTGACGGGGAATCAGCCGACTTTACACCTCTAGAAAATACTGAGGACCCGGCACGTATGGAGGAGTACATGTGGGTGAAGTGACGGCTCGCAGACTGTCGAAACGCATCTTGGTATTTTCGTCGGCGCGACGAGGTGATGTGTGTATTTTGAGGGTTTCTGCTCTTGATGCTGTGGATCTGCGTTGAACATTCCAGAAATGCTTTATAACGTTACGTTAAGAATTTTTGGTAACGTTAGAAACGCCGCCGGCACACGGTAGCTTCTGTAGAATTCGGCTTGCATGAAAACAGAACATTAATCTGCCGGGTGCTGACACGCTATCCTTACCCTGGCAAAACCCGGTATATGATGGGCTCAAACGCAACTACAGCCAAGAAACGAAACATCATGAACAAGACGATTGGAAGCAAGATGAAGGGTCCTCTGAGAGTATGTGCGCTACAAAACGGTCATCAGAGTAAAATAACTCTTGAGGATACGCTAAAAACCGCAACAAGATTAAAATGAAAACTTCTCAAGAGGTACAGCTACGAAACATTGACAAGCTAAAAAACATTGACAAGACTAAAATGAGGATGTAACGCTTCACGACAACAGTTTTAACGGTGCAGTGATCACGTACCACGACAAAACACCTCCCAACAAACTCGCACAGCATAATCGAGAAACATAATATTAAAATTTAAGGAACAAATTATGTAGGAATGCAGTGGGCCTATCCAGTAGCGTGAGTGTTTGTATATACTTCACTCTTCGTCCGTATTTTATGATTTTATATAATTTAGCGATCTGTGATCACAGTCATCATCCTCTTTATAAAGTGTTCCGTATAACATTTTACTAACATTTACATTTAGCCCAGACCGTAATAATATGTTCTTAGAGGGGGTATAAGATTACTTTTCGTTAAGTAAACACTGCAATGTTAATCATGGGCCCTTATTACTTCCAGACTTTCTGGCTTTGTTGCGGTAACGGCTGGAAGGGTCATGGTAACGTACACGTGAGCCTAATGACTGAAGGCCTAACCTATTGATATGTACTCGTCTAATTAATCAATTATCCGGGCAATTATTTATTTCCGGAATATTCTTCTTCCGCCGAAATAAAAGTTAACGTAGGAATGATTACAAAGGGGATCATAAATAAATACTGAAGTTTTGAATCGGTGAAAATGTATGTATATTCCTTACGAAGAGAAGCAATCTACTTTTCTATAAAGTTGAATATAAGGGCAGATTTTTACAATAAATTATGGTACGAACGGCAAAAGTGCATTAATCATAACTCGTTCTTACACCTTTACACGCACATATAATCGCATATCTGTGTTATTAGAACATTATATATATATATATAGTATATTAACATGTACTAAGGGAGTATATTTTGTATCCATGCTTGCAATAAATCGTACGGGCCCGCGCAGTGTATTAAGATCACGAGTATAGTAAGCATTTTAAACCAATTCCAAACAAACGACTCAGCGTCTAGCGCATGGAGCTTTGTAATGGGAGAGCCATGATAGACGACGAATGTACACCCCCTCCAGCTCCCCCCCCCCCCCCTATACAAACAGGTACACTATTATAAAATGAAGAAAGGTTTACAAATCATAATATAGAATAGTTGAACAATACAACAAACAGTATCGTGTTACAAAAACAATACAGGCATCTACACTATAAACATCTGAATAACAAATTTTCATTCAGATCGGTTTGAAAGAAAATGGAGCCAATCTCAAACAACATTGGCATTCAGTTCACCACACTTAGTACAATTTGTTGAGATGGCAGTTTTGGTACAACTAAATCTTAAAGAAAGAATAAAACTGATGACTTAAAAAATTTAAACAGTGGCTAAGTTTTATATAAAAATTTATATACTGGATGTTCTCAGTATATATTATATGCTCAAGTTGACAAAAAGAAGCCCAGCCACAATCATCAAACAAAATTTAAAATAGCGCCGTCACATAAGTTAGAAGGGTGGACATCGCAAGCACTTTAACTCACATCTATTATGGCAATGAAATATCACAACTAAACTTTGAGCTTGGGCTACTTCTTTTTCATTCCAAACGATATTCTTGGCCGAGAATTTGATTCTGATTTCCCCAAAATTTGGTTCTGGATCATCTTCTCCTTCTTTTTCAGTTCTTTTTCGAGGGTTTGTCTCTCTTCCTCGATCTGTCGTTTGGCATCCACAACCTCCAGCCTCTCTTCATCCTGTCACAGGGGAAATTTTGCAATATATATGTATATAATATTCAGAAAAAGACGGTACAGAAGGCTTCTATAGATTCATTCAATTCTCCACTTATTACAAAAAGGGGGTGGTGTCTTACCAAACGAAGTTTTGCTTCCTCTTGTTCGCTCTTCAGCTCCTCCACGATCGCTTGGAGACTCTTAATCTCTTTTTGATGTTCCTCCTGAGAGAAACCAGAGTGAATAATGAGTCTGTGTTTCCAGATCTTCAATCTTATAAGATCTGTAAACCTCAAGAGATAGAGCGTAAGGTTTAAGAAGAAGTTAAGAGGAAGGGAATACTAGGGTAATACTAGGTGACATGTTACATTTAACATCCTTTTATTAAAAAAGATTGGTGTAGAAATTATAGTAGCATGTTAAATAATTCCACATAACATTGCGCTTTTGTGATTGTTCAAAAATTGAACAAAGCCTCAATTTAAATTTTTCTGGTTAAGATCCAAATTTATGAGCCGTATAATTCGTGGGTGACAAAAATATGGAGATGAGAATGATATATAAGTGGCAATGAACATGCGCATGTGGCACCGAAAATCGACAGATATCGACATTACGCCTTAGCTTATCTAGTGATCTTAAAAAGAATGATAACGGTTTCGAAATAATAACAAGAAACGATAACAAAAAAAGTATGCTAACAATTAATAAAAGAATTGCACATACCGTTGTACAAACCAATCAAGCAGTTTTGCCATCAACAGGGTCTTTGTCAAAATATGCTTCTGATAGCAATTTAATGTACATCAAGTCACTTGAGGGCACTCAAGTGACTAGCTTATTATTGTACCACGTCTTTGATTCAACTGGCTTTTGGATCGTCGAGTGGTTTTGGACGCCTTAATCACGTCAAATTAAATTTTACTACAGGTAACTCTAAATGCCATGCTACCCACAGACTACATATTTTAGTGGGATACTGTTCCTTTAGTTATGATTCGGATACGTGGCCATACATAAATACAGTTCATTTACACAGAATCTCCTACGTGAATGTGTGAGCTGAGAAAATTCAGCCCGAATACTATTCACAAGGTATTTAATGAGACTAAAAGTAAAACTTGGCAACACTTTTGTTCCATGTAGAGGTTAGCTAGCTGCTGGTGTCACTCACAAATGAAAAATTCAAAATAGCCGAGCTTATTGCCGCTCAAGAATTAACTGCTAATGAAGACGAAATTCCCCTGATTTAATACTTTGGGCTGTGGGGTCTGATTGAACTGCGCTGCATCCGTTGTGCTTGCTGATAAAGTGACTTGCTGGTAAGGTTACTAACACATTACTAACAAGGCTACTAGCAAGATCAGTTCGGCTACAGGAGGGCAACATTTCACTACCAAATGTTGCCACTAACTAATTAAACAGGCCTACCTCTTGCTCCGCCATTTCTCTGTCCATCTCTGCCTTTTTAGCCTGGAGCTCCTCCTTCATCTGACGCTCCAGTATCTGTTTTGCATTTTCCACTCTACGACAAACTTCGGTGTCTATAGCCGCATCTTTCTTTTCCATTTCTTCTTTTATTCGCTTGTTCACACATTCATCTATCATTCGCTGAGTTTCAACCTCTGTTAACTTTGACTCTATATTTGCTTGACGCCTGAAATTATATATAACTTGGTTGAAAAAATTCAGAAAACTTCAGGAGAGATTTTTATGTCCCTGTTTATCTTGATATTTTACAAAATTTACGAAAAATCTGTTACAATGTCCACGCCAGTACTAAAAAATATTCAATCCAATTAACTAAATTAATTATTAATAAGAAATTGAACTGAATTGAATTGTAAAATTTCTAAATTGGACCAATATTTAAAAGTTTTAGACTTACTTTCTTCTTATCATGTCCTCTCTTTTATCATATATATCTGCCACCCTGGGCTTACGCTCCCGCTCCCTCTCACGTTCTGGAGAGTCTTTTCTGCGCATGGATATAACCCTTCCAAACTCATCTAACTGTTCTACAGGAGATCTCCTGCGTCTTTGAGTAACTGAATTGGAACGACTCCTACTTCTTCGTTTCTTACGAACAGGCGATTTATTTCTGGCCGAAGGTGATTTATTTCTGGTTGAGGGAGACCTGGATCTGATTCTAGAAGGAGATCTAGGTGGAGATCGTGTCGGAGATTTGGACCGTGACTTAGACTTACTGGACTTAGATGTCTTTTTTCTTGATTTTCTGGCATCCTCTGAATCTCTATCAGACTCCCCACCATTTCTCAATTCTGACTTCTCTACTCTTTCTTTCTTGGACTTTTTTGGGGACCTACTTCTGGACCTACGCTTGTCCTTTTTCTTCTTTTTTTTGGGGGGGTCAATTTCGGGAGCTGGAGAAGGTGAACCCATTCTGAAATAAGTGGTAAGTTGGATATTGCAAGTTGTTCTGTTAGAATATTTTGAAATAATGCAAAACACTGTTCAAACACTAACTGACAAACACTGCACATTGTGCCCAGTGCTGGAAAGAATCAAGTTAGGCATTCTTTTAAATCTTTTCAACTCAGCTTTCATCAGATCGAAAAATTTCTGAATTTTCATAAGCTACAAAAATTATGGACAAAGCTTTTATAATTTTTGAGTTACGAACATTTGAAGAGCCTCATTTTGATTTCAATTTAGTTTTTCTCAAATTAATTTAATGAAAATTCATCAAATAATGCTCGTTTTCAGCCTCGTTTATGATACTGATCATTCAAAACCTGTTTGAATAGTAATGAGGCGGCTTTGAGGCTATTTTAAGCTTCCCAAATTAAAAAATTGCCAAAAAACTGAATTTTGGTCACAAAAACTTGAAATTTTGAGATTTTTGGTCATAATGTTTTTTAACATAACAAAACATAACATTATAAATAATGCCTCTCTGGGCATCTCAAAAAGAAATTCATAGAAAATGAACACTTTACGTTTGAAACCATATAATTACAAACTTTTAAAAAATTTAACTAAATACCTTTGATATTAACCTTCTTCCTCTTAGCTACCAATGGATTCTCTTTCATATAACTTACATCTATCCTATCAAAGATGTCATTGAAATAAATTTTCGTGCACATACAGAATGAATGGTTAATAATTTAATATATATGTAGACCAAGGTCTGTGCACGGGATGCTTCCTGGAAGAATCCAGTTCTTTTAGCGGGGCACCCTACCTAAAGCCAAATTGAGATATAATAAGTGAAACAAATTTTAGTGAAACAAATTTAAAATTTTATCCTTTATTTTACAATCATAATATAATAATATTTATAAGCCTCCGTTTTGAAAGTTTTAAATTTTAATACATTCACATTTCTATTTAAAATTCAATTTTATGTACAAGTCAATAACTGGCCGCCAAAGCCGCGCATTCTTGAAAACAGGATTAACTTGATTATAGTTATACGACTATGTAAATTAAAAACTATCCGTGGTTTTTTCTTTTAAATAAATAAATTATAATTTTACCTAAGTCCAAAGCCAGCTTTGAAAAATTTACTATTAAATCATAATATATCGTCAACTTTAAATATTTACAATGCAACAATTCATTAATCTGTAAACACGCGTACTCCAGCCCCTAAACGCATAAATTGTTATGCGGCGCGGCTCAAGCCGCGCACGCACGTATTATTTTATACTGTTTGCTTTCTAATAAATATCGTGCCAATGTGTACGTCTAAATTGTAAACGTTCATGTTTTGTGTAAAGTGAATCCAATTGGGACTAGTGACAAGGATAAGGACCCAAGTGCCTGTACGGCTTTTTCGGGCCCCTGTGGACCACTACTCTTGAAATCACTCTACAACATTGAACATCTATATCTACTACGTCATTTGGCAATTATTGTCATTAATCTAACTTTCTAATTAATTGCCGAGGGGGAAGAGTAAACGATTCACATTAAAATTCAATATACAAAATTCAAAACCATCAATACGGTATTAAATATTATGGACAAGTCTATAGATCTATTTCGTAGTCATATATTCACATGATTTGCTTTATATTATATTATCTTAATACTGTAATGAAGTACAGTAGGATTTGTGTTTCGAGAAAGAAAGGTTGAGGTCAAATTATTAACAAAAGTAAACAAAAGTCCATCAGGGACTCCGTGGAGTCGAAAAAGGTACACGGCTGCTGTCTGGTGCTGCTAGGCATTTATTGATCAAGATGTTTTATTGTATTGATTTATAATGATTCTATTGTTCGTGACTAATCAAGTTCTAAGTGGAGGTATAAAGTGCTGCTCAAGATACTTCGTCATCTCATGTCCAGTATAATGATTAAGATAGTATACAATGCAGTTTTAGTAGTTGACCCATACAGTTAAGTCCGTCATAACTCACAATCGTTAAGTCGTCGGTCAATTGTCAAAGTCGTTGTGTGTTTATTCGTTGAGATAGCAGTAAGATAAGATGTTACGCGCGCGCGCGTTTAATCCCGTCGACGTGAAATGTGACAATGAAAACGCCATAGAATTATTATTTTCGCGCGTTACGTAGAGTTTACCAGTGTGTAATCATATTCCTAGAGAAATAATCAGAAATCGAATACCAATCAAATAATATGATATATAGGAGTAGTAACCATATTTACTATGCAAAATGCCCCAACCACATAGTGTAAATTTATATAGAATTCAAATCCCATATCATCATTAAACCTCAATAGTCAATATAATAGCCCAAGCAAAATTAAATAACTTCTTATATACCTTACTGTCATACTACAAATTAATTAAACATTTGAAATCTGTTAACCAGAGAATAAATTTCTAAACCTAATGCAAGTGAAATAATTTAGATGCAATAATGAATGCCTAATGTGAGTATCATCTGTCAATGTCCTTGTAAAAAAGTCTGTAAAAGAGATATGAGTAACTAATATAGAAGAAAAAACAGGAAGTTGTCGTCTGTTGAAAAATAAATAAAATATGAAAGTTCCCAGTGATGACCAAGCTTATTAGCTCGATAACCATGAAGCCGAAAGGCATCTAATCCCCTCTTGAAACCAGTAACCGACTCACTTGCTTTCACAAGTGGTGGTAGACTGTTCCAATAGCGCAAGACCCTTTGGGCAAAGAAATCAGTCTCATTTGTGGTGAATCTATGAGTCTTTGATCTAGCAGCAACGGTCCTACCAGAACGACCAAATAAATCGGAACTATAACCCACAAAGCCTTCCTCGATCTTGAACATCTCAATGAGATCTCCACGAACCCTGCGTTCAAGCAGGGTTGTGAGGTTCAGCTTATCCAGTCTCTCTCTGTAAGTCATGAGTCCCAATCCATCAATCATACGGGTGAACGATCTTTGAACACCTTCCAATTCAAGAATCAGTGACCAGTTTCCATGCCTAGCCATTGGAGCCCATGCCTGTGAACAATACTCTATATGAGGCTTTACTAAAGACTTATACAAGCCCAGCATAACGCTTGTTTCCCTCGATATAATATTTCTTGTAAGCCAGGCAATGGTACTATTAGCTTTAGCAATGCACTTTCTCACATGACCCTCAAAGTTGAAACTGGTGTTAAAGACAACTCCAAGGTCCTTCTCGCTTTCAACACATCTCAAAGGCACACCACCAAACAAGTACTGATTCTTAGCTTGTAATTACAATATCTAATGCTCCTATAAATACCTTAATTAATTGTTTGTCCCGTTATTCTTTTTCCTTCCTCTTTTCCTTGTCATCCCCTTTAGTTTTAAGATTCTTGCTATAAATGGCTACAGCTAACACTATTAATGCTAAGTACCAAACAACAAGTGGGAGGTGGATCGTTGGTACCATTAAATCGATTTAACACCGCAATTCCAGTCGCAAGCCTGGGACCACTACTAGCATAGTCACAACATCTACAAAGCTGCCATATAGCCTGACTGACAATTTTCTCGACTGACTGACAATGTTTCTTCTTTTTCCCCATTTAGAATACAAAGATTAGTACATTTTAGCTTATGATTAATATTATATTTTTACCTATAGTTTACTTAGATTAGGATTACAAGAACCAATTTGCATGACCGTACACTTATCTACATTAAAATTTAAACACCAACGAGACTCCCAAAGTTCTAGCAACTTCAAATCAGCTGTTAGATTAATAAAAGGATTAACAATCATTTTAACATCATCAGCAAAAAGTTTGATGAAAAAAGTTTGATGATAGCTTTTTCGACTTTCCAAACGTTTTTATAATTAAAAATCATAATTATGAAATACAATATGCCCATATCTGGGCATACACACCAAATTTGATAGTATTTTGCCCATAAATTGGTAAAAATATCAGCATTTTTGGATGAAATTAACTGAAAGGTAAGTTTGAATGTTATCTATAGCTTAATAACTTTTAAAATTAATTCGAAAAATTAACAGAAATGACAAAAATTGCCCATATTGTTGTTCGCGATATTTGCAAAAGTGATCTTACTCACATTAGGCATTCATTATTGCATCTAAATTATTTCACTTGCATTAGGCTTAGAAATTTATTCTCTGGTCAACAGATTTCAAATGTTTAATTAATTTGTAGTATGACAGTAAGGTATATAAGAAGTTATTTAATTTTGCTTGGGCTATTATATTGACTAGGTATTGAGGTTTAATGATGATATGGAATTTGAATTCTATATAAATTTACACTATGTGGTTGGGGCATTTTGCATAGTAAATATGGTTACTACTCATATATATCATATTATTTGATTGGTATTCGATTTCTGATTATTTCTCTAGGAATATGATTATTATATCTCAATTTGGCTTTAGGTAGGGTGCCCCGCTAAAAGAACTGGATTCTTCCAGGAAGCATCCCGTGCACAAAGCTTGGTCTACATATATATTAAATTATTAACCATTCATTCTGTATGTGCACGAAAATTTATTTCAATCAAATTCGTAATAACTGGACATTAGTTTTCAATATTTTTGTATGAATTTTTATAATCGGCATAGAATCTAGGTAAACTATAGGTAAACATATAATATTAATCATAAGCTAAAATGTACTAATCTTTGTATTCTAAATGGGGAAAAGAAGAAACATTGTCAGTCAGTCGAGAAAATTGTCAGTCAGGTTATATGGCAGCTTTGTAGATGTTGTGACAATGCTAGTAGTGGTCCCAGGCTTGCGACTGGAATTGCGGTGTTAAATCGATTTAACTGTATACCAAAGATCCACCTCCCACTTGTTGTTTGGTACTTAGCATTAATAGTGCAATTCGAATATACTGTAGGAAACCAATTATTTGGTGGCCAAATTGCAAAATTCGCTGTGCAAAATTAAGAATTTTCAAATTCAAAAAATTATGATTTGTGCTGAACGATTAGCAGGGTAAAATTTGTTAGGTGTGTTTTTATAAATTTCTCTATTGGAAATTAAAGTTTTTGATCTCTACTATTTATTTATTGTTATTTGTTGTTATTAAAATGCTCATTGTAGCCAGTTATTTTTAAAAGAGTTTCATCGTCATCATATGATTTCAAAAGTACCTTAAACGATTCCTTGCTTAATTTTAGCTTATATAGATTTTTTGATGAAAAAGATGATGAGTTGAGGAACAAACTTCATTTTTCCAGAAAATTGCCCACCTGGCAATCAAAAGATGAATAGTAATAGTTAACATAATAGAGTAACTTGAATGAAAAATAGAACTGAGGGGTTGATTTGACATTAATATCCTCTTTAAAAATGCATTGCCAAGTTACTGGGCCGCGCTCAGCCTGTCATTCCGCCTAATCTCTATTCGTTGTTGTTTAACAACATTAAAGCCTGGGGTCCTCAGGTAAGCGACGCCCAGCAAGTAAAGCAAGTAAATAAAGCAAATGATGGCGGATTTATGTATTTCAATTCCAAAATAACAGTATGACTCGAATTATTCTAACATGCATTAACGATTAAATGTTTTGAGTTAAGTTTTGTTTGCGTTAATCTCGACGTTGATTCACGATGTCAATCCTTCGCATCTCGCCGATCTGCATACGGATTGATGCATTCCAACAAGACACGCGCCAAAGACGCGCAGTTTACTGAGTGATGCCACCGATTTCTTTAGACACATTGATGTCATTATAATTTAGCGTGACCGGTAATAGTCTGGAAATCAGAAGGAGACAACACATGTATAAATTACTAAAAAAGGAGTATCAGTTTACAGGATTGACTTCGAATAGATGTTAGATAGGAGATTAATAACTCTCGTGCCAACTTTAGAGACGGTAACCACATTAAACACACATTAAACCACATTAAACTGATTGGGCGACATCTGTCCGACTCAGAAAATAGGTTATTCGGACAATAGTTTATTCGTATCCTACTGTACGATTTTCTTGAAACTTTCCATTAAGTATGATGGTTTGAGGACGGATAATCTGTGTAAGTTTGAGATATCACTTCAAACACAAGGAAATAGTGCTGTCAGACAGATGTCCTGTTACCTAAATTGAAATGGCGTGTGAATTATTCATTATCATATTAAATCATGACCTATATCTCCTCCGTATAAGTTTTCCTAATCAAATCGTCGTTTACACACGAGACTGCGAGACAATTAAACTTATGTAGGTTAGTATGATATCTAGAGTTGAAATTTCTGCATCCACACGTGTTGATAGATCCAACGAAATAACAAAATATACAGATATACAATTAGTGAACTGACAAATAATCCAATGGGTGAACATAACTTGGACAACACAGACACGTAGCAAACTTTTCTTTTACCACAAACTTTTCGAGCAACAGAATTTAACTTCCCGGTTCATATGCAGTGTTGCTGGTCATTTAATTTTATTCCCATGTGTAGCAATGTCACGGTCGTGTTTTACCCAGGTGTATCTATCACTCAGAATTTACTTTTTATTACATCTAAATAATTTATCTAAGAAAATGTGAATCATACTTATACCGATCTTAGTAACCCAACGGATTAAACCATGTTGAGTGAATGAGAAAGATATAGTGTCTTGCTAACACACCCATACCACTAGCATTGGCGTGAATATCCCACTTCTTCGATTCTAGACTATACTTAGGAAATAACTGGTAGTTCCTGTCGCCCCATGAACTAAGGAAACTACTAAAGACATCAAGGTAAAATAATTTAAATTTGGAACAAAGACTAAAGAGTAATTTGTTCGTAGAGACCACATTTTGTTCTCCTTTGAGCCTTTGGGGGTTACCGTTAGCAGGTATAGGGAGAAGGGACTGGACAAAGATATTTGCTGAGGGAGCTAAGGATTTAATTTTGGACATAAAGTTCTGCAGAGGGCTTTTAAGGTGTATAATGCCAGTCTGACAGTATCGTATGTCGTTAGTTCCTACACACACAAACAGTTTCTTAATCTCTAAATCAGGGTGGTCTCACAAATTGCTCGATTAAGTGTAATACAGCATCAATCTTGCGACCACCCTTATATATTATACTTATAGCGACTTTGAAAACTGTCTGTTCACCCTTGGTGGGTTTTTATATTTCCAGTCGCTCGAAGTATCTCCAGCGAGGAGTATGATCTTCTTCTTAGGGGGGCTAACGGGAGGCCAGTGTTAGGAGGGGGAGGATGATGAGGACGGGTAGAAGGATGATGAGGAGAAGGACGAGAAGAGGTAGGAGTGGTGTGGGTCAGTTAGGTTCCTAAAGGAAAGACTGTATCTAACACCACCCGGAGGAATTCTATGCAGTAGTCTGGATTGACAACCAGACTTCATGATATTGAGAGACTGGTCTGTCGCTGGCACAGATAATTCTGGGGAAGAAGGGGTACCTTTCCTGCCTGTAGGGTTGTTGTCGTTCCTTATAAAGTCCAGTGTTCTTGCTGCACCGAACGACACCGTACAAATGTCACTGTCCTGATCAATCAATGGTTCGTTGTCGTCATGGTAGTTCAGGTTAGCTCCTTTACAGGACATACATCTGACAAGACAGGCTGTCATGTTTCCAGAGGTGGCCTTATTGCTGTTAACAAGGTTCATCAGCTCGACAATTTTGGGGAACTCGTTGATCGGCTCGGGCTAGTTGACCACCCTTCCATACTTATACGAATCATTGCGGGGACTCAGCCACAAGGTCTTTACTTTCTTTACTGTTGTGCGGTCTTCATCGTTATAAGTTCTTTCATTACCCCATCAACCAGGGGCTCTGGAAGGTCAAGCTAGACGTGTTTCACAAGATCCGAAAAATGCTTAGGTTCAGGAGAAGTTGACGGTGATATAGGTTTGGGAGTGAGAAAGGACTCTGTAGAGGGAGTGGTAAGGGGTTCTGTCGGATGATCTTCCAGAAGGATTTCAATGGCATCTTTGAAGTCTTCTTCATTGTCATTAATGAGGGAGAGAATGTGATTTTTTCTGCTCTTGAAAGGCACTGAGAAGAAATTCAGTGATGAAGGTAGGTAGAAGTGGGGTTGGGTTAGCTTGCATCAATGGACAAAGTTACACCAAATGATCAGGATGGCAATCAGGGTACTAGGCAGCAGTCATCAGACATTCCCCGTAAAATGGAATGTAACGGCCTGAAAATAGAGACGGGCAGAGGGGAGTTAAACTTGTCTGCGGGTAAATTAAGTACCAATAAAGATCAGAGGGAGAGAATGGATCAATGATAACAATTTAAAGTTATAAGGTAAAATGTGAATCTAAAATGGACTATATTCAATTACTAGCCTGATTGAGAAGTTTAGGACTCCAGACAAGCGGGGGGATGCTAGGAGAGCTGCCGCTGCCTACCCTTTATGCAAATTTCACAACCCCGGGACTTCGGCTGGCTTTTACTCTGACATCGGCTGACTTCCATTGCCATAGTTTTTAAATTATGTTTCTGATCGAAGCTGCAATGATGCTAATAGATTTGATACAGCTCAGCAGTCACTGTCTTCAAATAAAGAATGTTCCAGTTCTGCAGTCTCAAATGTTTTCGCCCAGCTTTTCTTTTCATCGTGGTTATAGAAGACAGACCTGAAAAATACTTGTATTATGATAATATAGGTAATATGCCCAGAATGAGTAAAATTGTATTATCGGCAAATTTACTTATGTGAAAACTCCAAACAGAGTTTTCAGAAGTAACCGCACACGAGCAACTGCACGTAATTTGTGTGGAAATATGTAACTCATTTAACGAAGTCAGTTAAATGAACCTACCTTATTTACCGATGGCAATTTTTTTGCTTGTGATGAAGTAGTCCTCTCAATATATGTATGTAATTTGTTAAAAGAGTAGGATTGTAGACTGTAGTCTACTGTAGTCATAGTCCATGTATAGCGACGGTAGTTTACCAGCAGCTCCCTGTACAAACAGAAATATGGTTGTTATATAATACTACTTGTTTAATTATTGAGTACAATGCAGGAATACACTAACGTGTCTTATATTAACACCTAATAGACGTATAATATGTACTCATAAACAATGATAGTCCCAATTGTTTGTAATTGCTTATAATTTAAACCTTCTTATTAACTCATTTTGATGACTGTGTCTGACCTAAAATTGCACGAGAAATAGATAAAATTATGCGTCAGACAGGGCTCGACCAGGATACCGGCGCAGCCGGAATTTTTAAAAAGAATCTCAACACTTATTTTACTTCGGACATTCCAACAGCCACATTGTTACACAAGTGTGTAACCAGCCAATTGCAGGAAGCCGAAGGATTCAATTATACGTTAGGCCAGTGACGGTTAAGGTAGTGTGTACCGTACTTTCTTCGCCCGAGACTTTGCTGCAATGGGCAGCTCCTCATTTAACCCTCACACCCGATTTCTCGAGTATTTGGCTGAGTGGACCGGGGGGCTGCATAGACCACTCAGGATCCTTAGCTGAGCGTCGACGACGCTCACCCCACGGCTAGTGACAGAGTCGGGAATCGAACCTGGTACCTCAAGCAAAACCAGGCCCGGATTAACCAACTGAGCCACTAAGGCCGGTATTCGGCAATTTTGTACCGGTACCGGCCGGGATTTTGGTTTTAGCCGGGATTTTAGCCGGGATTTTTCCAAAATAAATTCAGTTTTTTTTTCAACGTAAATTTGAGTCCAAAATTCGCAAATCTGTTAACATTTTCCTAAAAAATTTTGATGAAATCATCGAACAATGGAGTCAATCTAGATTTAAAATAATCATGGGTTTCATGACGTCGATTTTATATTTTCGTTTACGAATAATGGAAAATGCTAGAAATATGACTCATGACTTAATTATTGTGACTAAGTGTCACGGCTCACGGTCTTGTGTTACCGAGGGACAAGTAAAACAGAGTTCTCCGGGTAAATAAAGCATTAATAAATGCTATTCAGTATTCACCAGGGACAAAAGGATTTCGCGGCGATTTTGGCCAAAAATCGCGATACCGCGAATTACATTTCGCGGTATATTAAACTATACATCAAATTTGTCGCAAAAATGGGAAACATCGCGATTCCGTACATGCCGCGATTTCCTTTTGTCCCTGGTATTCACCCTATTTAATTATTCAGGTAAGGTTATTTAAATTGTAAAGTATAAAGCTCCAACGTCAAACTCCATGTTCAATTAAATTAGTTTAAGGACACGTTCATTTGAGTTTGAGAATATTGGTAAATATAAGTGACCCTATTAAAAGGCACAGTGTAGTTGACTTTGTCACACTATGAAATAACACAAACCCTTGATGGTTAGGATAATCGTCTCATCCTCTAGGCTAGCTTTGTCACTTAACCATATCTTAATCAGGTGATAAGATATCGCTTAAATACGGCCGGCACGGAAATGGTTACATTGTCACATTATAAACATGTGACGGAGTAAATATGGACCCCTTGCTTCCGTTTTTGACCAAATTTTTGAGTGTCCAATTGATTGGATGGGTACATATAACCATTACCTACATATTTGAAGACTTTTTTCGTTAGATGGTGCACTCAGGTTTACTCTGTCACACATTTAAGAAAACATTTGAACAATGTTTAGGGCACCCTGATAAGCAATGCTGAGTAGTGTAGGTTTATTTGATGCCCTGGAAGTGCTAGGAATTGTTATTATATCATATAGTCGTAAGGAATTAAAACACAGAAGGCACAAACAAGTTTACTTTGTCACATAATCTTGATGATATCTGAACATGTGTGAAATTGAACAAATAATGATATACCAGCTTAAACCCCTTATATTATGTACTATGGATCAAACAACACTGCTAGTACCACGCACAAGTCACATAAATCATTATCCGGTGGTAATATGTTAACAGTGAAACTGAGTGGAGTTGGGTTAGAAACATATAAGAGATACGATGATTTAACTTGTAGAAGCTTTCAATTTAAAACATGTGTTAATCGTCGTCAGCTGAATGTGATGAGGTGGACAATGCTTATATGTGATTGAGTGGTGTCAGGGATGGAGGGTGGGGGAGGTGTGGGTGGGAAAGTGAAAATTACATTACAATGTCAATAAAAATTTAGTCTTCTGTTGAGGTTGAGAAGGAAATGCCAGCTGGTCTGGACTTTAAGGATTTGGCAATTTTAGGAAGGATGGGGTCCCATATGTTAACAGTCCCATAATATGTTAACAGTGTCACAATTAAACTACCGCAACATGGTCAAAAATAGGGTAATTTCGTCACAACAAAATTATTATAATTCTGTTAGCTCCTTGCTGGCAAAATAACTAGTTGATTGATGATAAAGTTACATAGTATTCTAATAGAGGTATAGCTCTTCAAAATAGGGGCAAGACATGTACATGTTTACTTTGTTACATCAGTAATTATTATAAGAGTAATAATCATCAGATTAACCGATCTTTTTCGTAGTTTGGATCGATTGATATAGGCATTAAAGCATACTACGCCAATTTTAACACACTATCTTGATATTGTTGGGGCAGGGACAGTTAATTTTGTCACATTTTCAGCGTCTTTGACAAATTAATCTAAAATTGTTAAACTTGAGCTCTGATGTTCTGGACAATATTCTACCAATCGTTTCTGAAAGAATGTTGAATTCTAATAGAGTTATAGATCTTCAAAACAGAGGCAAGACATGTTTACTTTGTTTGTTGTGGCAGGAAAAGTTAATTTTGTCACATTTTTAGTGACTTTGAAAAATGTAACCTAAAATTGTTAAACTTGAGCTCTGATGTTCTGGACAATATTCTACCGATTGATTTCTGAAAGAATGTTGAATTCTAATAGAGTCAAAGAATATATAGATCTTCAAAATAGGGACAAGACATGTTTACTTTGTCACATCAGTTATTATGAGAGTTATTATAACAGACTATTTCATTCTATAATCATTGTTTTTAACCTATTTACGATTTCGTATCATTTTTTGTGACAATGTAAACATCAACTGATCTTAACTGATCAACTACATTGTCATCATGTAAAGTTTTCCCGCCTTTCAAACCAAAATCAGTTATAAATAATTCGCCCAAAATTTAAAATTCCATATATTGTGACAGAATTGACCTCATTTCCAAATAACCAAGACGTGCAGTTATTATGACAGACTATTTCATTCTATAATCATTGTTTTTAACCTATTTACCTATTTTTGTGACAATGTAAACATCAACTGATCTTAACTTGCATCAACTACATTGTCATCATGTAAAATTTTCCCGCCTTTCAAACCAAAATCAGATATAAATAATTCGCCCAAAATTTAAAATTCCATATATTGTGACAGAATTAACCTCATTTCCCAATAACCAAGTGCCTGTATTAGCTAACTATTCGACACAACATATTTTAGGGCTATGATTGGTAGATCAACTATCAAATAATGAGTTAAAAGGTTTTTGAGGACACCTCACAATAGAATAGAGGTATGGTATTCTGAGTGTGACAAAGTTACCCTAATATTGCCTTGTAACCGTTCGATCCGTGCCCTTTAACCAATGTTGTGTCATAATTGTTAGATTAACCTTATCTACTATATTTCAGACCAAGGAATGATAATTAGACAACTGCAGTTAACTAAGTCACACAAAATGTGACATTTGAACCATTATTTATAGTGCCTAACAACAATAGATTTTCTTTCTGAGCAGTGCATATGGGAGTATGGGTTACCTCGCTAATGTTCAGAACTTCTGAACGTGCTAGGTTAATAGATGTCAAAATTAAGCCACTATCGTCGAAAACGCTATCATTTTTGTTTACCAATATCCTCAAACTCATATGAACGTGTCCTTAAGTAACCAATACCAGATCACAAATATGAGTTCTGTGTCAGTTTTGACTTATATAAACATAATTCAGTTTGTCATTCTAAAGAAGTAACGGAGAAATATTGGAAAAATCCCGGTACCGCTCCCGGAACCGGCCGGTATGACGCTGATCCCGGCCAGGTTTTCATTTTCATCCCGGTCCCAGCCGGGATGGAGGTAATCCCGGCCCGGTACCGGCCGGGACAAAATGTCGATCAAATGGTCTCAGAACTCACTAACACTTCCTTCTTACTCAAAATTGATGTTTTACATTATGACGAGCAACAAGCAACATATATTTTGATCCTTCGGTTCTAAATCTAAGGCAATCTGAGGTTATTTGAAAGCTTTCGTTCAGAAAATAAATAAAACCTTCAAATGGGGGTAACAAGGAGTAACAAGCGTTGCAAGTGTTCCATAATACTAAGATCTTTCTCCTACTGAGCAGAACCTTCCCCTTAAAAGTAAACAAATCGCCTCTCTACGACAATCCAGATCTATTAAGTAGCAGAGACGATCATTTAAGGAGACTTCGATATCTATCAGGATCATGATTATACTGCCGTGAGAACTAAGCACTCCGGGATTTAACACATAATATTTGGTTTTCTCGATTTCATTCATATTTAGACATAAGTCGGTGTAGATAATTGGTTATACGTAGAATAATTGGACATAATTTTATGCTAAGTTGTACTTGCGTCTGCGGAAATATACGTGTGAACTGGTCATACCGCAAATGCTGAAAAAAGTAGATCTTACCTATCATAAAATCACCGCCCGTACCGTACACGACTGATTTATGACTGCGTCAAGAAATTCTGTATCATAATGATGTATTGCCATGGCAACCAAAACTCCATCGGGAGATCGGCTTATCGGCTAGTAACGCATAATATACCTACAGTATCAAAACATATCATAGCAACATTCCAGAGATTCTGATTAGCTTATGTGCGTGTGTGTGTGTGTAAGAAAATGTATTATACAGTCTGCTAGAACATTCCGTTTACACATGGTAAGATAGTAAATAGGCCGATAATAACTGCCCATTGCATTAACAAGTTGTTCAATTTATCTCCAAATTACACACAAATTTCAGAAATGATAGATCTGTGCCGAACTAAGATTTTCTGAAAGTCTCGTAGACTTAAATCAATTACAGAGGGTGTGGACACTGGCCACCCCCTCTATTTCACTATTATAGTTGAAACTAGTATAGATTACAATAATTTTACAAAAGTCGAAACAGTAATATATATAATATAAACACCAATTTGTAGGATACTTTAAATCACACCAAAATTGTTCCCAGATTAATGCAATGAAATCTGATGATGTCTTTTCAGTGAAAAAGAGGCCACACTGTAATTGATTAAAGTTTACGAAACGTTTAGAAAATGAGTTATATTACTTGCAACTATAACTAAGATAAATTGAGTATCAATATCCGGCCCAGTAAAGGCTTACTGGGCTTATCGACCTAAGAGGACAGCCCCCTGAGTGGATTGCAAGACAGTCTCAATTGTGATCTGATGGGCCCTGTTAGAAAAGCCTGATTGTGCACAGAACATCAGCTGTATTTGTTCTTAATAGCTTGATCTGCAAGAAGAAGCAAGGCGCTTTAAACTGGTGTTGAGGTTGAGGGTAGATAATAGATTTCGCCAATCTCTTCCTTCAAACCATTTCCGATGGTTTGATCGATGGTTCCTGTTATATATGACAATCAAGGCTAACCAGCCTGAAACGATAACACCGCAAACGTTTGCTATACATTGAGTGATGCATCACGTTTCCATCCAACACATTTTAAAACGGTCATAAACCGGCTAAATTTAAATAACCAACTTCAGATTTTACAAGGGCCGAACAGGGTTTTAATATTAAATCTGATAAATTTAGTCAAACATATTTCTGTTAACACAGTTATATAACTATAGACTTAGTCGGCTGCTGGACAGTTCCGCCTAACCTAGATCAAGCTACCACGAGAAGATTCAAGATTTAAAACCAATTGTGAGCTTAAGATCATAGCAGTTATAGACTTAGAACCAAATTATATTGGCAGATTATTATCTCTGTAATAACAGACTTTACGATATCATGGAATAAAGTAAATCATGAAATATCTCTTTTACGACACAGGACTCCGTGTTTAAAGAAGGATTGATTAACGGCTGGAAAAAATGTAACTGGATATCTGCCACAGTGCTGCTTTTATTAAGGTTGAAGTAACTTTTAGCACATAAAGAAGTCTGGTTTGCTAGGTTTTAATTGATCGTACAATAACAAATAAAAATAAGTTAAGACTACAAAAACGGTCAATAGAAACTAATTATAATACCTGTATCGAGAACTCGACTTCAAAGTACTATCATTCTGCCAAATTATGTCATATCTTGAGACTATTGATAGCTTCCTGAAACAGTTTTGAGTCAACATTTTCGTGATATTCTAGAAATTGAAACCAAGTCTCATCTTTTAAAAAGTAGATTGCATTAAATGCCATAGAATGGAATTTATTGAAATCTACTTTTTTAAATTCTAAGAATTTGTTGATTTATTAAAATTCTGTCTCAATTAAGGGTACACGCAATGTAGTTCGACACACGTTCATGCTAGGCACCCTTTTAACCCCCTCTATGGTGAAGATGAGGATGGTAAGTACAAGTAATGTGAGGAGAGGATGGGTACCATTTAGTACATTTAAGCTGTAGGTGTAAAGTAGCTCTTAGTCGAGGAGTATATAAATGACGGCACGACAAGGTTCTGCAACAGATCTCTGAACATGTTATCTTGTGAGCGCCGAGTGAACACTTAAATAAAAACACTTATAAAAACAAGGCCAGCGATGGAAGACAGTTCATTGACTGCTAGGCTGGGAGGGAAAAAGCAGGTACAGACGACCGAAAGGAGTCGTGGTTTGGGATCCTGAGTGGGTCTCGATATTGGATAGTGTTGTCATATATCGGGCCTTATAATATTCTCAAGGTCACCAAGACGGCACAGTCTTATGGCGGGAGGTAACGGTACCATCTAAAAAACAGATTGCTGAATCATACGAGTAAAAACTCTACCTGTACAGCAGTCTTACAGCAGACTGAGATTAAAGCGCAAGAATGGTGCTGTTATAATTTTGCGTTTAAAGTTTTAGCACCTGGAATCTGTTAACAGTTTTTAGAGAGCTGAGTAGGCTAGTACGGGATAGTAGGGAAGAAGTAGCTCACTGTTCCAGATGGATCTACTTCTCATCAAGGAAGAGGGAGTGGTAGGTTTTTGTGAAAAATCATGATACGAACTTTGATGAACCCATAATAATATAGTGCAAGGATAGCATTCTCATAAGTTCTACCCTTGCTACAGTGCACAATGTAAATACTTAGTGATATCAAGCTGCAATCTAAAATTTATTAATTGAATCTCATTATCACTTCAAATCTTACCTGTGCAGTCTAGCCTGATTGCGACATCGTTAGAAGTGAGAGATAAAAGACATTCAATTGTAATCCAATTCTGCGAGAGAAGATTTGCCCAGACAGCTGACAAGAATGTATTACCATACTTCCTGTAAATGTGGTAGTTATTAAGTCCTATCAACCTTGGATATTATTTCAGTATGTTGTTTTACGTGGGCAACATCGTAAATTACACACACTATAAACTATAGCACTAATCCTATGCTGCAGTGTCAATAAAAATGGAAGTACAAATCACAACAAAATGTAAACGAGCACACAAATTCAGGTTAATCCATGCTAGTATAGTTAGTTAATCTAAAAATAACCATAAGACAAATTAACCAATCTCCAAGCCACATTCTTGGTTGTAGCGAGATGCACCACTGGGCCTGACATCGTGAATCAACATTCTTGGTAATTACGTAAGACACGAAGGAAACGTTTATAAAAGTTCACTAAAAGAGAACTAAGTGACTTATACCGGCGCCTCTTCACTGTAAACAACACTGGAAACTTTTCCCGTGCCATCTCTGCTGCCGGGTCATCCCAAGACTCTCCTAACCCACTGAAGGAAGACCAACGTCATGTCTCAGAGTACGGTCTAAAAAACTTTGTGTTAACATAAAACTTGGCCTTTATCGTGCCTTTGGTATGAGATCCCATAGAATGCAGCCCTCTACAGAGCGCTAGAATAACCCTAAAATTCAAAAACAAACAAGCCTCACGAGATCAAGTCGCTGTAATGTCCTGGAACATTCAGGACAGTACAGGAGACGGATCTAACAAATTTGAAAATAACGAATTTCTGACAATCCTCAAACAAGCAAACATTCTGTGTCTCCAAGAAACTAAGAAGCAGGTTAAAATCGAAGGATACCTTTCCTTTAATAGCAACCGCAAAAACTCTCGCTCAGGAGGGGTCTGCATTCTTGCTGAAAATGATTTAAGAAAAGGTGTTTCCTGTGTGCCTTGTAGTGAATCTGACGAAATTATTGTTGTTAAACTTGACAAAAACTTTTGTTAGCTTTATTTTGATCTATTTTTAGTATGTTATTATATTAGCCCTGCATATTCGTCCTATGTCAAGAAATATCCAGACTGTACTGCTAAGACCTTCTCTGCTCTTGACACCCTCTGTATTAGACTACGTCAAAAAGAGGCATATCTACGAATTATCAAAATACCTGATGTTCGAAAAAATCTGACAAGGTTTCGTATCAGCTGCCACAACCTCTACATTGAAAGTTGCAGATACGAAACCCCCCTTGTACCAAGTGAAGAACGTTGGTGCACCTACTGCTTTTTCAGCAAAGGGCTCAAGCCTATTGAGGACGAAAGTCACGTATTGATTGACTGTTTGCTCTACTCCTCAGTTAGGGAAAAATTCAATTTCCATCCCCAAAACATTGTTGACCTAGTCGGTTTGCTCTCCAACAAAACTTTAGATCCTACCACACTCACTGCCACAGCAAGAGCAATCTATTCATTTCTCTCTGTGAACGAACATTATACAGCCTATTATAAGAGCCCAGACTTCCACTCAAATACTGGCAAGTGCATAATGCTATAGGACCTTAAAATAAAATTGAACCATACAAACTCGATTTATCTATTTTTCTAAAACTAGCATTATATAACATTTCTAAATTATCCCTACACACTTGTAAATAATTAGAATTGTGTAACCTAAATTATTTCAGAATTACAACTATTGTGTACTCAGTAAAGTAATTATCACTTTTGTATCCTTTGTATCCTTGTATCCTTGTATCCATGTCTTTATAAAATCACTCACTCACAAAATTGCCGACCCAATATCTATTGAAGTGGCGAAGATCGGCCAGACCGAGTATTACCATCCCATCCTTCTAGAGTTCATCACAAGTAGCACCCACCTTGAAGATTTTTGACACCCAGACACACCCCATTGGCACACCCCAGCTCAACAAACTTTGGATATAATCTTACATGCTCCCGATTGTCCCGAAGGAATCCCTGTTTATCATCAGCACTTTCACTAGGTCACCAGCTTTTTCACTGAAATCATCAGCCTTTTCACTGAAGTCATCAATCAGCCCTTTCAATAAAGATTTTAGCTCGTGTTCTAAACTACAAAACTTATCAAATTGTTCAAGTTCTAATAAAGCGATCACGACTGTTCTGTCAAAGCACTAGCAACTACTCAACTAGGAAGGTTCTTTAAAATTCTTTGAAGCGTCATAATTACTCAAATCTCTTGCTAACAATCAAGTTGTTGTTCCTAGTTCTACAATTAAACGAATACAAAATTACAGCCTTTCAGGTTTACATTTTTTGATATCCAGCTCAACATACGGCTTTGATACCAATAATGGGTATATACCGATGATCGGTGTTAATAAATATTTGATTATATTACCATGAAACTTAGTATTGAAGTTTAAACTCTTTCTTGTGTAAGAATAACCTAAAGAAAAACGTACTAGTGTACTGTTACCAGTTACGGAAAGCAACTATTTAATTAAATTGAAGATAAATAAACAGAATACAGATGCACGATCCACAATACAAATACCAACTTAATCAACGGACAAATTGAGGAAATGAAAATTTCGTTTGGAAACGAGCTATATATAAGGCTAGGACGTAGCGCTCGACTCCAAATTGAAGTAAAATTAATACGCGATCTAACGAGTTGAACTGCCACTTTTTTGGCAGTTCGAATGTTGGAATTTCCACTACTGTGGTTGCGAGAAGCATTATTGGATGCGCGCGCGCGACCCAGTAGTGCATCGCGCTACAAATCTCGACGCCTTATTCCTGATTCCAAGAAATTGTTCAAAGTTTGATTCACGATGTCAATCCTTTGCATTTAGCCTATCTGCATACGATCTGTGGTTGCGAGAAGAATTATTTGATGCGCGGCGCGGCCCAGTAGTGCATCGCACTAAAAGTTCAAAGTGTCAACAATGAAATTGTTTTTGAGAAAGTCAGCCGATCCAGTGACAAGAGTGAAGAGTATCAAATTATTTGCCGATTATAGTAAGTGACTGATCAATTTTTCCAAATTCGCTACTGGTAATTGGGTTGCTCTATCCAGAGCCCTTGCGCTTGCAGTAGCGCGCGCCCGCCTCACGGCCTCTTGACTTGTGAAACAAGCGCGCCCGAAGTGGCGCGAAAGCACATGGTTAGGTGAAGTAATTGGGTTGTAGGTTTACAACCTACCATACCAGGACGCGCGCCGAGTTAGACTCGTCGACGGTCCCCTCACTATATGGAACAGATATTTTACGAGTATCACCCGTTAAGTAATTGGGCCTCGCCGAGCTTGGAGCTGCAAAGAATTGACATCGTCAATTAAGATCTGAGTTCTAGTTGCATGCAATAAACATTATTTGATGCGCGGTGCGGCCAAGTTTACATTACACTATTACCTGAGGACCCCAGGCTTTAATGTTGGTAAACAACGAATAGAGATTAGGCGGAATGACAGGCTGAGCGTGGCCCAGTAAATTACACTAGTGCATTTGGTATTTATGCTTGGGCTGTAGCACAATGCATTAAATCGGCGAAATGCACCATTGTACGTTTACTGGGCTTCACCAAGCTGTGAAAGATTGACAGTGTGAATCAAGTACTTGGGATGTACAATATTTAAAAAATTTCATATGATGCATTTTTGAACCATGCACGATGATTCCAAATTGACGCACGCATGCATGTACCTACATTCCTTTGCGTGACCTTCTTTTTATTTCCTTCGTATATGTGAAAGAAGCATTATTTTTTATTTTGCTCGCCTCAAAACTATGGATGATAATTAATCACTCTACACTCGACTGTCACGTGACTTTTTCAACCCGTTCTCTAGCTGGCCTTGAACGACTATTCGAAACCCTAACCCTCTTATCTGATCCCAACCCTAACCCTAACCCAATCCTTAACAAAAGCATATGCTGAAACCCTAACCCTAACGAGAAATTAGACTAACTTCCTTATACGGTCATATCACGTGATCGAGACAGTTTTTCGCCTATATCTCGTCAGGGGAGCATTTTAACCCTATGTCATGGGGGGTGATTCGGAATCAGCGTCCGAAAATACATCGATTGAAGTTGGTTTCAACTGTCGGGGGCCTTTTTAGAACAATCTCGAAGATCGACTGTAGAGTGATTTAGTACGTCTCCAAAACTATCACCTGACTTTGGTTTTATGGTTTTGCTTGTCTCACACGTTGTGACCCTTTGTATCACGTCGTAACCCCCACGGTCGTTTCACTATCGTTCTTACGATACAGGGGAGCCGCGGCGGGTCATACAACGCACGAAAATCGAGTCCAACTCGGTGCGCGTCTTCAAATCCGAGCCCTAAACAATCGAATTCGTGTTTTACTAGCCTGTCTGCTGTCATCTGACCAAAATAATTGCATTTGCCCTTAAGTCTCCAGGAAAGCATTATGAAAGATTTCACATTTAGCTATAGTTCGACCCAATCACCAATTATACATAATACTGCAAAGTAAATTTGTGTTATTAAAACTTTCAGGAATTTGATTGTTGATTGTACCAAATTTATAATTCGCGCGCCGCGCTTCTGCATTACAATTACTTGATGAATGCATTCAATTTAGCGTTGGATAAGTTACGTACTTTCCATCAAACATACGTGTCCACAATTAATATACCACGTTGTATCGTCTTAAAGGTCGTCGCCCACACTTATTTTATCAGTCAACTCTAATTCACTCTTCGATTCAGCTTTCGTTTAGGAATAGTTGATTACTTAGATGCCCACTGATGGACTTCCTATCGTTTCATTCTGTGTTGCCGATTTCAACTATCCCCAGCAAATAACTTTTTTTTCACTCTCACGATCATGATAGTCTACTCACTATAAGAGAATAGACTTAGCGATTACATAGATCAACAAATTTAATTGTTTTTTAGTGTAGTAATTACATACATACAGGCAATCTTGACGTTTCGTCTATGACAAAGGTATGTAGCCGAAACTATGACAAAACTTGATTTATTTTGTTTTACAGTTAGTGTCCCCAGTAATATATCTTCAGTAAAATAAATTTATAATATCATAATTTAAAGTCGATAGCTAAATCTCTGAGAGCAGGTTTGGCAAATCAACTATCTTATAGTTCATTGTCGCGTTGTGCATCACAACAACTCAAATAACTTGCATTGATTGAGGTGCACCATCTTTCTATCGCGACACATTCGCAGTATTTGATTGTTTCAAGTTCAAAAATAACAATACAAATATTGGTAACGATGTATTGTGCTCTGTACATATTGTTTGAATGAAAACAGTTATTCTCTTCATTCGCAGTATCACTTTCAAAATGATAGAAAGTATCAATTCTGTGGTACTGTATAAACAGTATCACAGAGTTTATCCTTTTTTGGAGGTTGGAGGTCTCCGTTTCATATCGTTCCGATTTATTACATCACATTGGCTCCTTTATAATAAATAACAGACAGAGGAGAGGGGGCCGGGGGGGGGGGGGGGGGGGGGGGCTGACACGTCAACCCCCCCCCACCACCACTTATATTACATAGCTTAAATATTCTGGGCAGAACTTGATATTTGTTATTGGAACTAGTGTAAACATAATGTAGTGTAACTAGTAACTAGTAACTAGTGTAACTAGTAACTAATGTTACGTGTAATTATTAAGGGGGGAGGGGGGGGAGGTTACGTGTCATTATTAAGGGGGGGGGGGGGGTTACGTGTCATTATTAAGGGGGAGAGGGGGGGGGGGGTTACGTGTCATTATTAGGGGGGGGGAGGTTACGTGTAATTATTAAGGGGGCAGGGGGGGTTACGTGTAATTATTAAGGGGGGGGGGGGGGGGGGGGGAGGGAGGTTACGTGTAATTATTAAGGGGGGGAGGTTACGTGTAATTATTATGGGGGGGGGGTCTTCTTATGTGTTATTATTAAGGGGGGGTCAACTACTAGACTACTGAGTAATAAGTCAGTAGTAAGGGGGGGGGGGTCAACTACTCGACTAGGGGGGGGGGGGGGGTCAGTACATACGTTCCAACACGTTCCAACGCTTGTTTCTCTGCCACTTTGCCTGATTGAAGTGATTCTTTCCGGTATGGCTTAATATCACTCATTCGAGGAATATATCAAATCAATTAACAATAACGATGTTCATTTTTTTCGAATGAACGTTCATTTTCGCGGTTTTAGATGTTTTCAATGATTGGATCTAATTGTAATGCATAAAGAGTTTATTCATTACGTGGGATCAGATGATAGGGTTGACACTAGATCCGCACTATGGGAATCGTTCAGAAAGCCCTAGCAAGATGAAGAAACTGCTTGATAACTTCGTCATTTAAATCCGTTAAAAAAAAGATGAACTATTCCATATGTTACGGTATTGTTTGTTACTTACCTCATATGATATCGTACCAGGTATGTGACTGAGATTTCTAACAGGAAGGATGCTACAGTTGATTGTCCTAGCCGCCATCCTTCAGGCGAGTCTCTCCATAGAAATGACATTTACACTTCAAGAACATGAAGTTCAATGCTTCCACGAGATCATCCCTAAAGACAAGAAGTTTTCCCTTGAATATCAGGTAATTTCTGGAGGTCACTTTGACATTGACTGCAACATGATGTCCCCCAACAGCAAGACCTTGTACAAGGAACAGCGCAAGCAGTACGACACATTTCATCATAAAACGGTGGAAGCTGGAGAGTATACATTCTGTTTCAGTAACGAGTTCTCTACCTTCGCCCATAAGACTGTTTACTTTGACCTGGATCTGGGTGACGAATCTACGGATATTGGTGCTGATGATGAGTCCGGAGAGGGGGCTCACGCCACAGCGCTGACCCAGCTTGAGTCTTCCGCTTACACCATTCACGAGTCACTCCGTCTTGTGGTGGATTATCAAAATCACCACAGACTAAAAGAGCGAATAGGAAGGGAGATAGCAGAGTATTTGTGTGAGCGAGTTCAAAATTGGTCTGTCGGGCAAACTGTTCTAATCGTGATTGTGGCATTCGGCCAAGTATACATGCTTCGTAAACTATTTGACAAGCCAGTCGCAAGGGGTGGTAAAGTTGGAATCTGATTTCTAGTAACATGATCATGAGACACGTTAATTTGTCATGAATATTTAGTATTAGTTTGTCTAAATCATTTATTTGTTTACCTTTCGTACAGCTTATAGTAATATTTTTCGATTCATTTGCTCTTATTTCATTCTGCTCTGGCTGAGAAAAAAATAATAATTTAATTAACTCACATTTTTATTTTGTGTATATTTGATGGTGGGAGCTCACATTGTTTCCCGAGCTGAGAGTTTGAAATATTATAACACTATTCTAGTAGCAGAGTGTACACTACACGCGAATAATCAGTTTCGTAATTTTATTGTGTACCTGACTATTAAAGTTTAAAACATTAAATTACACTTAATGCTCCCCGTGTATCCTTATTTGATCTAACGATGAAAAATTAGCATATAGTCCATCTAACCAGTAAGAGCATGCTTCCAAAGTACCCCTGCTAGGGTAACCATCAGTCGAACATTTTCTTTGTTCCCTTTACATCTCCCCTAACGATATACGCTCACAGCAGTAGGATGAAGTTTGTAGCAGCAGTGGTCGTGTGTCTGGTAGCACTGGCTCAGTGCGAGATTACTGAGGAGGAGGGAGTTATCGTACTGACCGAGGAGAACTTTGACGAGGCCATCTCAACCAACGAACACATCCTCGTGGAGTTCTGTGAGTATTCGGTTATTCATACATGAGACAAGGAAGCGCAATCTTAAAACGCGAGGAGAGTTAGGACTCCTTGGATAAATAAATTCCTTTCGTAACATCCTCAATGAATATAGTAGATTTGTAATGTTGTAATTAGTTTACAACATTCCTTCCCTCTCTAACTCCCTCTAACTCCCTCTCTAACTTCCTCTCTAACTCCCTCTCTATTCTCTATCTTCCTCTCTAACTTCTCTCTAACTTCCTCTCTAACTTATCTCTAACTTCCTCTGACTTCCTCTAACTCCCTCTATAACTCCCTCTCTAACTTCCTCTAACTCTCTCTCTAACTCCCGATCCCCCTCTAACTCCCCCTCTATAACTCCCTCTCTAACTTCCTCTAACTCCCTCTCTGATATTCAGATGCTCCATGGTGTGGCCACTGTAAAGCCCTGGCTCCCGAATACGCCGCCGCTGCCAAAATCCTTGCTGACGAGGGTTCAGCTGTCAAATTGGGTAAATGTGACGCTACAGAGCACAAGAGCATTGGTGGAAGGTTCGGAGTCAAAGGTTATCCTACTCTCAAATTCTTCGTCAACGGCAAAGAGAAGGAATATAACGGTTAGCTAATAACATAAAATTTCAATTATTTATCTACAAACATCGATAACATATTTTAAGATCTGTCCGGCTTTAATTAGTTAGAATGCTGAGTTTGGAATTTGTTGTTCTATTGTCAACACTCAACTCCATTTACCGATTAACGTTGCTTGCTGGGAATTTGCCCAAAATGGGCTATACTGATAGAGGTCGGGGAGAGGGGGCCTGCATAAAAATCTTACCTCGCATTGCTGAGATATTACTGTAAAGCCTAAACTTAAACTCAAAAAAGCAAAACCTAAACTTTTGAAAAATACTGGCCACGCCCAAGAGTCAAGACCTGATACTTTATTCCTCGTTAGTCGTTATGCACATAATATTTGCATAATTTTAATATTTGCCTCTGTTCTTGAAATATGCTCAGGTTTACTTTACACCAAATTTATTGAAACTCTTTGTTTTGTCGCTTATACCTCACAATATCTCCTACTAATTGTACATCTCCGTTTTGAAATTATCCCCCAATTGATTTCTATCCACCGATCATGTAACGATTCAAAATTATCCTGCAGCTGCAATTGATATGGACTATGGTATATGTCTATATATAATATATCTACATATATAACGCTATTCTACAACTATAGATACATACTCTCTCAGGTGGACGCAAATCTCCCGACATAGTGTCCTGGTTGAAGAAAAAGACCGGTGATCCTTGCAAGGTTGTGAGCACAAAAGATGAGGTTGATGCTGAGGTTGCTTCCGCCCACTTTGCCGTTGTTGGAGCTTTCAAGGTACGCAGCAGCTACTCATTTGTAAAGATACTACAGCCCCTGTAATTTGATTACACTTACCAATACAGGGGCGCTGTAAACCAATAGGTTTTTTTGAGGTCCAAGATTTTCAAAATCGAAAAAACTTTTTAAGGCATATCTCCTTCAACCTTCTTAACTCCTACCCCTTTCAGGACCGAGCCAGCGAGGCAGGAGCCGTCTATACCGCTACAGCTTCAGATACTGACGGTGTTGTATTCATGGTTACTGATAACGATGATTTGATGAAGGAGTTCGGACTTGAAGATGGTGGTATTGTCGCTGTCAGAGACGTGAGTTTTCAAGTCAAAATAATGATATTGATTTTTTAAACCTACATTAACTTAATTCCTTCTGTAACGTCCTCAATAAATGTAATAGATTTGTAGTGTTGTAATTAGTATCTTGGAGAATGCCGAGAGACAGAAAGCACGGTGTTTTAAACTAATATGAGTATAATTAATTATTATCTATAGTGACTAGTGTAGCGACTAGTGTACTCTTTACTGAACACTGTATTAAACGCTATATATTAATTTATTAATACATGACTGGCTGAGCAAAATATACGCCTCCACAGCAAGGGCGTGGTCTATATTACAAAGGAGCAGACTTCTGTCCACACCGTAGCCACGTTTGGCCACCTCATATTATATCCAAACCCGATAACTTATTCCCTACGGTCCTTATGAAAACTTGAGTAGCAACAGTATACATAATACACTATTATAGGATTAAACAGGGTTGAACAATTCAAAGTATAATTACAATTGTAATGTCCGGCGCGGCTCAATATAAAAAGTATAAATACACAGTCAAAATAAAACACCTGTTAATTGATATGGTCAGAACAGGAAGCTATAATAACTATATTAGGCAACATTACGATAATTAGGAGTTCGTTTAGGGGATGCTTTAGGGAATCTTTATTCTTCGTTCATGTACTTTAGTATGGAACCTTCCTAGGTCCAATGTCCGAGAAGTGGAGCGATTTGCTTTGAGAATTTCTGGCGGAAATCTTCACAGCCGAATGATAGGAAACTTGATTGAGGGTTAAATGAAGGGGGTGCCTGAAAGAATACCCCTTCAGAACATACGTATACATTGTAGTGTACTTTTAAAAATTTTAATTTGGAAAGTTCGTAGATTCTTCTACAGGGTCATCGAATAGTCCGACCGCCCTTTTTTAAAGTACACTACAATGTATATGTTCTGAAGGGGTACCCTCCTCATTTAACCCTCAAGTTTCCTATCATTCGGCTGAGTCGACCGAGGAGATCGCATAGATCCAATCCTCAGCTACTCCCTAGACTATGTGACACTGAGATTCCAACCCTGGACCTTCTTCACAGAAGGCGGAAGCTCTAACCACTAGGCCACTTAGCTTGAAATACTCAAGAGATAATAATTTATTTTACTCATATATATAGAAGGGAAATATCTACAATGAAATGCTACCAAATACCTCCTTTTTCTATAAATACAAGTTCTAATTTTATAAGCAATTCGTTCGAGATATATGATATATATGATCCGCAAAGGCTAAAACGACGGTTATACTCTCCCAAAATATAGTACAGATGGATTCTGAAGGAGAAAAAAGCTATTTTCTGTACGAAGTTTTCGGCATTTGTGCTCTTTTTAAGACAGTCTTTAAAGCAATACGATCTATCTTGTAGTCGATTTTCTGTATTATCTGAACGAAATGAGCTTCGTTGAGGAATGGGTAACACTTAAAGTTAAACGGGTGTAAAAGTCGTGATATTTTCAAGGAATTCACGGAGACTAAAAAGGAGTCCACTATTCAAGCTTGGAGAATATACGAGACAGTGAATTTGTTGTTGCTAATAGCGCAGATGTGTTGTAATACTAGGTTGTCTACTTGAGTAACACTATCTATATATATAACACTATATATATGAGCTAACAATACCGTCCCCAGTTCGCCGATGAGGAAGCACGTGTAGTTTTGGAAGGAGATAAGACCGCTGAATCCCTCGGAACATTCATCAGTGCTAACAGGCTGCCTTCTGTCGTCGAGTTCAGTGACGAGGTAAGTTACTAGTGTAGTTGCTAGGTTACTAGTGTAGTTGCTAGGTTACTAGTGTAGTTGCTAGGTTACTAGTGTAGAACTACAGACTGGTGCCTATAATTACACAGCGCCTGGTACATTTTTAAGATGTACCAGTGATTACTCTGAGTTGAAAGTTTAAGTGTATATTCTTGCATCCTATTCCTAGAGTGGAATTGTATGTCATTTCAAATTTGCAGTGTTTCGTTTCATGCTAATAATGCATACATTATGTCATGACTGTGAAGATTCTTGATCTGTATATTATTATTAATACAAATATTTGCTAACGATTATATCTTCTTCAGACCGCTCCCATGATTTTCGGAGGAGATATCAAGTCTCACTTCCTTATTTTCGGAGATAATGAACACGAGGCTCATGCAGACTTGATGGCTGTATTCCGCAAAGTGAGCAAAGGATCTGCTGGCAAACTAGTTCATGTGTATGTTAACTCTGGCAAGGCAGATAATGGAAGGATTCTAGAGTTCTTTGGAATTAAGAAAGAGGACGGACAAGTTACCAGGATTATCCAGGTTCGCAATTTTTTCACGTACCACATTTTACAAGATCAATTATAAAACCAGTGATAACTAATTTACGTATGTCCTGGTTTGCATCTAGCGGAACTAGCAACGATTCTAACTTATGGAGTATAAACTTCATATTTCCAACATTAGTAGTGCGCGCGGAAAGCCGCGCACAGAAACAGCCAGTCTTACGTGGCAATTGTTATGAGACTGCTACCTGAAGTAGCATCTAGTACAAGTAGGAGACATACTTCGGGTAATGAATGTTGCATTGACTAGAATCTGAAACTATGTAGTCCTTGGGGCGCGTTCGACTCTCTAACACTTGTTGACAAGCCCCAAGGCAAGTGAGCGAGAGCCAGTTAAGGTACCAAACATAGAGAAAGGTGGTTTCCAGGATAACTTAGAAATTTGTTTGCCTTAGATAATTTTCGGTCCGAGTCATCGTACCTCTGAAGGCAGGTGCTATCCTGGAAACCAGATTTCCGAGATTACATCGCAAAGGGAAGCCTCGACGGGTTATGATTTAACTTCCACCGTTACATTTCCATTTTCCTTCGCACGTAAATTAGTACTTAACAGTTTTAATTTCAGCTTGGAGAAGGAGTTGACAAGTACGCTCCCGACTTCACCGACCTCACAGAGGAGAACCTCGCTAAATTCGCTTCCGATTACCTGTCAGGCAATCTCAAGAAACATCTCAACTCAGAGGAGATCCCTGAAGATTGGGATGCTCTGCCAGTCAAGGTTCTCGTTGGAAAGAACTTTGAAGCTGTTGCTTTCGATGAGACCAAAGATGTGCTGGTTGAGTTCTATGCCCCATGGTGTGGACACTGCAAACAACTTACTCCCATCTGGGATGAGCTAGGTATTTATTTTCTCTTTATTTACCTTTAGCTCCTTTTTTTCCCTCTTTTCTTTTCTTTTTCTCTTTCTTAATATCCTTTTCCGTGTGTAATAGTAGAGCCATGGAGGGATAGCAAGATGTAAGTGTAACTGTGATCGGACTTATTACCATGGCTTAAGTCTGTTTCACATACTTTTTTAATTTCAGAAAATTAAGACTCTGCACCCTCTGACCCTCGCGTCGGGGAAAATACAGTTTTTACAGTTACAGTTTTTCAAACTTTTACTTAACTAATTAGTTAACTCGTTTTCCATCTGTATTAACCAATTTTATCTTGCAGGTGAGAAGTATAAGGATCACGAAAGTATTGTCATTGCTAAGATGGACTCTACAGCTAACGAAGTAGCTGATGTAACCGTCAAGGGTTTCCCTACTCTCAAATTCTTCCCTAAAGAGTCTGGCAAGAAGGTAAATTATTGGAATTTGTTATAACAAATTCAGAAACCTAAAAAAAAGGATTTGGTCTAATCAAATGTCCGTCAATACAAGCTTTAACTCTCTTGATTACTTAATCGATAAACTTAACCAATTTTTCAAGTAGGGGTTGCCTATGGAATGTGGATAACTTCAATTCTGATCATTTTGATTTATAACAGGTAGTTGACTACAGTGGTGGACGGACTCTCGAGGATTTCGTTGCTTTCCTTGATGGAGACCACGACGCCGAAGCTGAAGACGATAAGGCTGACGAAGATGACGCCGATCACGACGAATTATAAATTTTGATATCCCCTTATATTGAGTTCTCCCACGTATGTTTCAGTCATAATATATTATAAGTATTTAAGTTAGGGTTTATATTCTTATGACACCATTTCAAGATGAGATTTGAAGCCAATTCTTAAATCAGTGCGATTTTACCTGTTGAGAAAGATCATTTTGTTCGATGCTACACTATGTAAAGATGTTGTGCATTGTTAAAACTTTCAAATCGAAACCCCCAAAAAGTTGTTCGACAAAAAAATAACGGTCTTTTTTATTTGGGCGGGCCCCTTTAAGCTTATATCATTTATACTGAATAAATATACTTTTTAATCCCTATATTTTACGTTATATAAATTCCTTATCTTAACAATTCAAGTTTAAAGATCAGTCGTTGGGTAAGTTTTTGATGTGAAGTTATTTATTATGTGGATTTCATTTTTATGTGAGATAAGCTTGTTTTCTTTGTTAAAATTTTGAGATCGAAGCTTAAATAGATAGGGCAGGAATAGAAAGGGGGGGGGGGAGCAACCATATTAAAGTATATCCCCGCCCTCAAATCGGGAAGATAGCCTGTTTGTGAACTCCTACGAATTTGCATCCAGTTTGGACAAAAAGTGCGCCATATGCCCATATTTGGAAACACGCACGACATATGATAGCATTTGGCCCCTAAAATGTTTAAATTTCAATATTTTTGTAGGAGGCTCTGACTTTAGGTTGGTGGTTTCAACCTCTATTTGCCACAAAAAACGAACGTGCTTAAAATCACTCTACGACTACAGTCGATCTTCGAGATTGTTCTAAAAATCACCCCCATATGACCCGCGGCTCCCCCTGTATCGTAGTGAAACTACCGTTGGTGTCACGACGTGATACCAGGTTAAGGTTGGGATCAGATTAGGGGGTTATGTTACTGGGCCGCGCTCAGCCTGTCATTCCGCCAAATCATTATTATGTTAATGAACATAATAGCCTGGGGTCCTCAGGTAAGGGGTTATGGTTTCGAATAGTCGTTCAGGACCAGCTAGAAAACGGATTGATAAAGTCACGTGACATTCGAGTGTAGAGTAATTACTAATTAATCATCATCCCCAGTGGTGCATTTTGCCGATCTACTGAATGTGCTTGCGAGAAGAATTATTCGATGCGCGGCGCGTGCCGACTGTGAAATGGTTTTTAACGCTAATTTCGGCCAGCACAAAATTCTTCAAACTAATTCATATTGGGTAACTTAGTGTAATATACTCGTTTTAGCAGTTTTAGTACTAGACATTAAACAGTATTTTAGGGCATTTATTAGTGTACGACATTTAGTACAGCATGCAGGGTAGCGCAAAGAGTTCAGTTTAACACCTCTGTTTTGGGGAGCAGAGAGTTTATTTTAACATCTCTGTTTTGATTATCAGAGGGTGCATTTTAGCACATCTGTTCTGGTTACAAAGAGGATAGTTTAGGAATTGTTTAGAGCAGAGAGTTTTGGGGAGCAGAGAGTTCATTTTAACATTTCTGTTTTGATTATCAGAGGGTGCATTTTAACACCATTGTTTTGGTTACAAGGAGGATAGTTTGGGAATTTTTAAGAGATTGCTAGAACGAGAGGGAGATTCTTTATACTATCTGGGGATATTTAAAAGTGGGCCTGTTGGATGGCAGTACCCTTTTTGGTTTGAGTTTACTGGGCCGCGCTCAGCCTGTCATTCCGCCTAATCTCTATTCTATGTTTATGAACATGATAGCCTGAGGTCCCCAGGTAAGTTTGAGTACAACGGAAGTTGCAGTTAAAGTTTACAGTTAAATAAATAGGATATTCGAATTATTGACATAGTATTTGAGGAACACTTTACTTGACGGATGTTACTCGTCTAAATTTATTCGAAGTAGCGCGCGCTGCGTTCTTCTCGATGGCAAGTGCTACGAAGTAGCGCGCGCCGGGCCAGACCATTAACAATGGTCAACACTTTACCTGAGGACCCCAGGCTATTATGTTCATTAACGAATAAAGATTTGGCGGAATGACAGGCTGAGCGCGGCCCAGTAAGGAACACTGAGATATTGTAATTACAATTCTTAACGGTTTATTCAAATTGAAGTATTTTCCCTTGTCACCTTACCACTTACAGAACAAAATTGTAAGGAAAAGAGACTTGTATCACTAGCTTCCCTTGATCTTAACCATTGTTAATGGTCTGGTCCGGCGCGCGCTACTTCGTAGCACTTGCCATCAGGCAAACATTTCGAGAAGAACATTCGAGAAGAAAGCGGCGCGCGCTATACTACTTCGAAGAAATTTAGACGAGTAATTGTAGCGCGATGCGCTACTGTGCCGCGCCGAGCTGCCATGAATTGACATCGTCAATTAAGACGAGTAACATCCGTCAACCCTTGATCCAATTTTAACAAAAATTGATTAGCTTACTGATAGACTTACAAGGAAAATGTCCACCACAAATTTAAAGCATATCCAACCATCAAACATTATGTTACAGCTAAAATGTAAAAGCAACGTATTTTGCCCCATCTTCATCACTATGTCAATTCTGATATCCACCAAATTTTTCGTATAGTTGTTGAAGCCCTATTGGAAGGTCTTCACAAATTTTCAGAATGATTTCATTCAAAGAACCATAAAGATAACACAAAATAATACAACAAAAATCAACGAATTTTGTCAAATTATGCGATTTTTAATAATAGCTGGGGTCCCCACATAGGCGAAACTCACTGATCATTTCAAAAAGTTAACGGGTGATACTCGGCGCGCGTCCTGGTAGGTTATAAACCAACAATTCAAAAAGATATGACAAATTTGGTACTGTGAAAATTCTCACAGTCTTTAGAAAACAATGTTACAAAAAGTTGGAAAATCCGAGAAAGTTTATTTTTATCGTGCACCCCCTAAAATTACCAATAGCGAAATATTTAACGGGTGATACTCGTCAAATATCTGTTCCATAAATTGGACCGTCGACTAGTCCAAATCGGACGCGCGTCCTGGTAGGTTATAAACCTACAACGAAATATTAACTAGCAAAACTTTGACTGGTTTCGTTTTGTCGGCTGATTTCATGATTTACTCCCAACGCGGATGGCTTCTCCAATCTGCTGAAAAATTTGTCATACGTTGCAACGCGCATTGTATGACCCGCCGTGCACGAATGCGCGGCTCTCCCTGTATCGTAAAAACGTCTATGGTGAAACTACAATGGGGGTCACAACGTAATAAAATTAAAATGAAAAATCACGTCGACTTTATCGCAAAGTTTCTTCGTAGCGCGATGTGTTACTGGGCCGCGCCGCGCATCCAATAATGCTTCTCGCAACTGCACGTTAGATCGGCAAGATACCACGTTAGATCGGCGAAATGCGCTACTGGGCTTCGCCGAGCTGCAAAGAATTGAACAATTTCTCTTCATCAGTTCCTTCAAACCAAAAATGAGCACATTCCTACTGCGGTCCTCTTCCGATACAGCATTCTGTATAACCGGTAACCTTTTTCAAACTTTCTTCTGTAAGCACAGGTGCAGTTTTAGACACAGCTTGACTCTACGTCTTCATTCTAGCTTGGACAGTGTCGGAACGGCGGTCTTGACGGTGGAGTGCACTGATTCCAACTGCTTCGATTTAATTTCCAGAAGTTCAGCCCGCAGCTTGATAACAGTACTTTGCGGTCGGATAAGATGACTCTTCAACTCCTCCATATCTTTCTTGATATCCAGAAACGTATTTATATGAACACTGGTAGTCTGATATGCATTATACAAAAGTTTAACTAATACTCCCTTCACTCAGACTTGTCGAGCGTGCTAAAATCACTTACAGTCGATCTTCGAGATTGTTCTAAAAGTGGCCCCGACGGTTGTAACAACTTCAAATCGATGTATTTTGGACGGTGATTCCGGAATCACCCCCCATGACATAGGGTTAAAATGCTCCCCCTGACGAGATTATTGGCGAAAACCTGTCTCGATCACGTGATATGACCGTATAAGGAAGTTGTCTTATTTCTCGTTAGGGTGTTAGGGTTTCAGCATGATGTTTTTGTTAAAGATTGGGTTAGGGTTAGGGTTGGGATCAAATTAGTGGGTTAGGGTTTCGAAAAGTCTTCAGAACAGCTAGGAGAACGGGTTGTGAATGAGTACAGTCACGTGAACGTGACAGTCGAGCTGTAGAGTGATATATCATCATGACTGACTTGTTGTCGCAGTTCGTTATAGCATTAGCGGAGTTGACCGATATCCACCGTTATAGTCTGCATGCGTCTTCAGTTAATGTAGCGAAAGTAATCGGACGCAATCTTTAAAGATGTTGCTTTGACCTTCATCGTGTACTTGTACTTATATAAAATAAAAACACAGTACCAGCACAATGGCAGTTGTAATGTAGCGATAAAATAGAGATAAGAGAGCTAAATTATCAACACGTAACAAAAACTGCAAATGTTCAATATTCTATAGCTAGAATGAAAGGTAAATATTAAAAGAGATAGAGATAGAGATAGAGATAGAGATAGAGATAGAGATAGAGATAGAGATAAAGATAGAGATAGAGATAGAGATAGAGATAGAGATGCCTTTTGTTAGCGGAACTTAAGCTTCACCGGGTAATTCATTATATATTGAATACTTGTTTCACTAAAATAATACTAATGTATTACAGGGGGATTACACAGGATACAAAGGATTACACAGGATTAAAATTAAATTATAGGTCCACTATCGTGAACCGTCATAATTGTTTACAGAATTGGGTAGGTAAATAAATTATTAAAAACATTCTCGGCTTTGTTTGAAATCAGGGCCAGGGTTAGCCTTAAGACCTTAATTATGAATAATTCGCGAAGTTCTCACCAAATTGATAGTAAAATTGTTTAAGATTCGTGTATTTGAATTACGTTGACGCATATTTTCGGTAACCTGGGGACCCCAGGCTATTATGTTCATAAACATACAGGGTGGGCCAAAAGTCAGTGGGCGTACGTTGGCCTTAATAGCTCCGCCGTGTTTTATATTTGAGAGCTGTTGCTTTGCAGATGGCATACTGTACTTACTACTGGTTCGAGGATTCCGTCGTCAAAATTTGAAAATTCGAATATTTTAGACCACGCCCATTCAATATCAAAACACCTATATTGTTTTCTCTGAACATGCTGAACACCTCATTTTTTCAGAGACGGTAGTATATTCCGCCGAATAGAGATTCGGCGGAATGACAGGCTGAGCGCCGCCCAGTAAATCTTCGGTGAAGCTATTCCGATCTTTGGAGCAGCGAAGGAAATAAGTGCACACACAATTGGCAGCATAGGAACGCCTTTCTTGAAATTGAATATACTTTGGGGTGTTTGGTTGAATATTGAGTGAGCGGTGGCAGTGAATATGAAGGCTCTGGCGATTTTGAGGATTTACAGTTGAGTAAGAAGACAAAATTTCTATAAGATGGTATTTGAGATTTGTT